TGTATATGTTGACATATGACACACCTTTATATTTCGTAGAACAATTATCTGCATGTTACATATGTGCATTCATCCAAAAGATCATGTAGTTCTAACAGTTCTCGTCACTTAACTTAATACATTCATTTAGACCGTACACAATTGCGACCGCCGATGGTTGGACATAGATAATATATGAAGAGACAGGTACTATTCTACGATCTACGTTTTCAGATATGTAAAAAACCGCAATGGGGTGTCATATATTTGTACCGTGATATATTTGGTGAGTAAGTGGAGGTATATATCCTTGGGCAGTTTCGGAGAAGATACATAATTGGATGTAGGAAAAGGCGACTACTGTGGGCGCCGGCAGCATCAGACATTTTCTTCAATATCTAGTTACATAGAAGACACTGAAGAGTCAAAAATGGATCTGCTGTCCCCATCACAACACCTGGTGTCATTTTCGTTTATCTCTCGTCTGCTCTTTCGTTTCGTTTGTGTCTCAATAGGCGCCCGCCTACATGTGAGCAGTTAGCTGTTAAAAAGAGGCTTAACCAAAACAAGAAAACCCCATTAAGACCCTTTACGCTCCTCCATCCGGGCAAACAAGAGTGATTGATATCAGTAAGGAAAATAGGGTTTTTCCATAATTGTTGTAAAATAAACAAAATTGATACATATCTCTTAAACAAACAAAAATAGCTGGAGAAATAAGGAGATTTTGTTTTTAATTGGCTGGATATCAAAAATAAAAATCGATTGGAAGATGAGTTCCTGTAGCTAATCTAACATGATTTAAAAGATCTTTCAAAATAACGGTACAAGGTCAATGACAAATGCTGCTAGACTAATTAAGTTCTTCGCATCAGAATATCGATTTTTTGCACGTTAACTAAGACAAAATGTTCAGTGCGGTCTAACGGCGTCCATCTTTTCTGGGGTTTTTTTGAAATTATGAAATAAGATTCCTTAATTCACTATTCGTGCATCATTTATTGCCGTCTGTGATTGCTAAGTTAGAATAAACTTTATACTCGAAAATCAATGTAGTTATGGTCTAGTATAGAGTCGCGTGCGTAGAAGTACACAGACTCTTTGGATTTTAATGATGAACGTAGCCCATACACAGGTAATTGCACCTATAAAGTTTGGTAATAGATAAAGTCAGCCAAAAAATAACCACACTGCACTATACAGCTGTATTTACATATGTACCTCCTGATCAGAATCCATGGGCATAATCTGAGTAGAAATAATGGGGGTGTAAATCTTCAAAAGAAGGGCTTATATTCATTTATTGATGTAACCTTCTCATAAACCTTCCCGGTATATTTGATTTTTTTCCAAATGAAATTTCCTTGTTGCAAACGACCTTCTAGTTCTTAAAGTGTTACAGCTGTGCCCTGTGGATATTATCAGTGCTATTATGTACCACTGACCTACATGTATAGGTACAAAATGCATGGTTCAGTGGCCTATTCATTGATGATGGGGTATGTTATCAATTAGCGTCAACTAATTATGTAACTTCATGCAGTTTGTAAACCATTTGAGGGGATTAGGTAGTGTGAAACACTACTATAGAGTTATCAGCCGAAAATACCAACATCAATTCAGGTTAAGCTTGTAACTGGCTATGGGATACTAATTTGTCTTCTGATTCATACTTAATAGTTCAGTGGTGCCCATGCCAAAAATGCTGGACTGATTTCCACATCTTTAATATGTATATTGTGCACAGAAAGGGCACCCAGCAGACTACTTAAACAAAGAAGTATAATACACATTCTTTCATTAATAAAAACTCCCTTTCTTGGTTTAAAGTTTGATAAAATTATGCTTTCTGTACCTTTTGTGTTAGAATGAATAATTCAAACAGCTAGATTATTAATTTATCGCAGTAGGGCAAACTCACAGAGACCTGAGAATTTGTTACAGGTAAATATGGACCTAAACTAAGGTGGTCAAAGTAACTTTACACAGAAACGCAAAAACAAACAACAAACTATTCGGATTACCATTAGTTCCATGATTCCCCGACCTCCCCCGATCCCTCTCTCAACCTCTCACCCAACCTTATTAACTTCTTCGCATCATAATATCGATTTTTTTGCACGTTAACTAGGACAAAATGTTCAGTGCGGTCTAACGGCGTCCATCTTTTTTTTTTTTTTTTGAACTTCTGAAATTAGATTCCTTAATTCACTATTCGTGCATCATTTATTGCACTCTGTGATTGCTAAGTTAGAATAAACTTTATACTCGAAAATCAACGTAGTTATGGTGTAGTATAGAGTCGCGTGAGTAGAAGTACACAGTCTCTTTGGATTTTAATAATGAACGTAGCCCATACACAGGTAGTTGCACCTATAAAGTTTGGTAATAGATAAAGTCAACCAAAAAATAACCACACTGCACTATACAGCTGTATTTACATATGTACCTCCTGATCAGAATTCATGGGCATAATCTGAGTAGAAATAATGGGGGTGTAAATTTTCAAAAGAAGGGCTTATATTCATTTATTGATGTAACCTTCTCATAAACCTTCCCGGTATATTTTGATTTTTTTCCAAATGAAATTTCCTTGTTGCAAACGACCTTCTAGTTCTTAAAGTGTTACAGCTGTGCCCTGTGGATATTATCAGTGCTATTATGGATCACTGACCTACATGTATAGGTACAAAATGCATGGTTCAGTGGCCTATTCATAGATGATGGGGTATGTTATCAATTATGCAGTTTGTAAACCATTTGAGGGGATTAGGAAGTGTGAAACACTGCTATAGAGTTATCAGCCGAAAATACCAACATCGATTCAGGTTAAGCTTGTAACTGGCTATGGGATACTAATTTGTCTTCTGATTCATACTTAATAGTTCAGTGGTGCCCATGCCAAAAATGCTGGACTGATTTCCACATCTTTAATATGTATATTGTGCACAGAAAGGGCACCCAGCAGACTACTTAAACAAAGAAGTATAATACACATTCTTTCATTAATAAAAACTCCCTTTCTTGGTTTAAAGTTTGATTAAATTACGTTTTCTGTACCTTTTGTGTTAGAATGAATAATTCAAACAGCTAGATTATTAATTTACCGCAGTAGGGCAAACTCACAGGGACCTGAGAATTTGTTACAGGTAAATATGGACCTAAACTAAGGTGTTCAAAGTAATTTTACATGTTACAATGCACGCGGCTGACGTCAACCTCATTTATATTAAAAAAAGTTCATTTCCGCGGAAGTAGATACATTTTACGTGCATATAGGAGGTTTTTAAAAGAAAAATTATCCATCTTTACTACGGTACTAAGCATGTTCCCTTAGATTAACTAGAAATGTTTTTTTTTTTTATGTAAGAAAGTTAGGTGGGGTCGACATTTCAACATCTTTCTTCCCTTCTCGGTCATATGAACATTGGGGGTGTCATTTCCTCCTAAAATCGATTTAAACCCCTAAAACATGTAAAATTACTCTGGACACTTTAGTTTAGGTCCAAGTACAGCTGTAACAAATTCTCAGGTCCCTGGGCAAAGCCACTGTTTTGAAATAGAAGTGCCCGAGGCTGTCAATTCCTGACAAAGGGACAGCCGCAGTATCTTATCTGTAAGCGTGTACTGATTTACCTACTGGACAGACAATGGGCAGGATTAATTGCCTTCACACAAGGTGAATGGTCAAGAGGTGGTCAAGTAAAATATGTGTCAGCGGGTTACAATTGCCCTAGCAACTTCAACCATGTTTAAATCTGCCACTAAGTAAAGTTGTAACTGAATGAGTAAAATTTATGGTTCCCTGTGAAATTTAATTGATTGATTGTTTATTAAGAAGAAACCTATTGCATTATAAACAATTTAATTGAAATGATGCCGACTTCAGTCTTTTAAACTTTGGTAAACATTGTAGTGCACTGGAGCTAACATCATATTTATACCAAAAGGCACAGCGTGTCTGTGTGTATCAGGATATTGCGGTTCACTTATTAAGGGGGGTCCGGGCCTTAACTGTTTCCCACGTGCACCTCTAGATCTGACGGGTTGTCATTTCTCTGACCTTCCCGGAGCATCGACAACCAGACATTCCGTCATTATCTCTGTTACCAAACACCGCGTACCTCCCCTGTGGTCACCATCAAAATGATCAAGTTTTAGGAAGGCGCCTTCATAAAACCTCGGAATTATGTTATCTAAGGCCGTGATAAAACGGAAAGGAGTGTGGTGAATTCTGGGAGAGTTATCTCCATTGGACTGTTGACCACGCCGACACTGGGAGCTCTAGATCTCGTGAAGGCTATAATTAAAAGCTACTAGCTATATACAACCTAACATCGTTGTGACGTTTCGACGCGGTCTCTTCACAGATTTACATGTGAGTTACTTACCTCCATCGTCTAACAAGTTTTGGGACATTTAAAACTGTAAAACTGTCCCATGTAGAGAAGGAAATAGAAAACCTCCAAAACTGGAGTTCCATTTAATTAACAGTTAACATGTTACCTCTTATAATGCATTGTTTGGGGTTACTCATCATATTTTATCAATGTGTAATGTCATTATACGTCCCTGGTAATGTATATAATTTATTTTGCAATTATTTTGTCTTCAAAATGTGAAAATATACAATATATGGAAAGAATAACCATTAGCTATTCCACGGACTTAGATAACCTTAATCTAATTCCGTGGCTATTCATACCCCATTGAAAACGCAAGGGAAGTAACTATTCCCTCCAAATGTTTTAACTGAGCCCCGAGGAGAGCCGAAGTGACTTCCTTTTGTTCTGTGTTCTTTCCTCTTGATTGTCTTTCATCTGTTGTGAAATTTGCTTTATTCAGTACTCAAACAAACACTCATTTAAATTAATTTTAACAATATCCTTTTTACACACACTCAGAAATATATAGATATAGAAAACAACAACAAAAGGACGTTCTTAATGTAGTGGTGCAATCTGTGTAAGGGGAGGTAACTCGTATAACTAACATCGCTTAGCAACGCGATAGCATAACCGCCATCTTGTCTATCGTGACAACTAGGCCTGTGTGAGGGCTGAAATATAAACAGAGGAGTTTATTACAAAATCTGTGTCAAATTGGCGGTGTCAACACATTTATTGAGTCAGCATCAATGAATACATTGGATCAACAATGACAGATGTGCAGGTAATGACGATAAATATGGTTAAATTATGTTTTATTATTAATTTGGCAGAGGGCCGAGTTCGAGAATGCTCATTCAATCGCAGGTGACATTCACGCCACATTTATTAGGAAATGCGCAGTAGGAATATTTTTTGTAACTTTGGTTTTTATTTCATTGTCTTAAGTACGGTTAAATGTTGATTTAATAAGCAATCGGCGTGGTATGTGAAAAGAAACATGAAATTAAATCGAGGCATGTCAGCGAAAATTCGCATAGCCATAGAGATCGGCGACTGTGGAATGTTTTTTTCTATTCTGTCCAAACTTTTCCACTTACTTAATACTTCCAATTTTAGAAGGTACATAAGTATGTGATGGGCCTAACATTACCAATTATTTACAATTGAATGTATATTTCTTTATATTTAAAAAATCAGGACAGTGGTATTGGTTACTCTAGTAGCATTACTAAGTTACAGTACCAAACAAATTGTACCATAGGGAAACTGTTACACAACTGTCTTTATATTTAAAGTACTGTAGACCTTCTTTCATATCTGCTGCATTTGAATATTGTTATGATATCCGATTTCGAGAAATAATACCAACATGAGCTTACAATTTTGTAAACTTTGGAAATAGAGTTATATAAAAAAAATACCAAATATCAACAGTGACTGAGTGAGGTCAAGCAAAGATAGATATCATCAGTTCATGTGTTTGTGGTACATATTATTGGTTAATCTTTTCACTTTAAAAAATCTTTTTACACACTGTAGATTGAATGTATGAATTTGTATTGATAGAATGTGAATGGTAACACGTACTCCAGAGGTGTACAATTTCCATTTAACAAATTTATGCAAACATGTTTTTTGAAAATTCTAACTACCTTAAGGTAACATTGTTGCTCCAATTCCATGGTTGTAACCATATTTACCCACCTTTTGAAACATCAATTAGGTATGGATTCCCCGTGTCCAAAATTAAAAACATAAATAAAATGTTTGCAGTTACATACATCTGGGGAAAAAATAACATTGTAAAATAGCATAGGCCCTATATATATATAGTTTTAGTTTTTTTAAGAACAACTAAAGATATGCCATTTTACAGTGTTATTTTTCCAACATTAGACATTAGAATACAAGAATAGTTTAGCAAATTTACTGATTGAATTGTTAAATTTAAGGGTCCAAAATCAGGTGTCTCCATCCAAAATTGGAAGAGTTGGCAAACCTGGGTGAAAAATAATTATATTGGCTTTGAATAGTGATCAGTGATTGATGGTTATCATTTTAACTGACTTTACAAAATGCTGAAAGCCCCAGCTATATTTTTATATGATAAATTGAAAGTTTTTTAGTATTCTCAACATAAAATCTACTAATCAGATGAGTGTCAGGCTAGTGGAAATGTAGAAAGAGAAATGTATCGGCCAGACGGGATTCGAACATGTAATCCTCCGAAGTTTAGACGGACGCTCTACCAATATTGAGCTAACTAACTGGTCAGCAACGATCAGCACATTCCATTTCTGCTTCACACGCTATATACAATGTACTTATACGTAATATTATTGAAGTTATAATTGTATCACAGTCCATTTTTTTTGTTGATAATGTTGCAAATTATACTTTCTTCCAGGCGTCCCCTCGGAATGGGGGTGGTAGAAGTAAAGGAAAAGGCACAAATGACCCGATCAGGTTTTTGCCAGTTTTACCATCAAAAAGAACTAAACCGTCATGGCAGCAGGGCCAGCCATTGTTTGAGTTGTCCGGCAAACCAGTGGAGGAGGAAAAAAATGGAATTGATCTGGTTGGAGAACTGACAGCAAGTAAGGAAATTTAATTGTTCTTGACATTCCAAGTATCCTCCAAAAATGTTTAGACCTGACAACAACTGAGTTAAACTACAACTTAATTCCTGAATTGATAAATATGTTTAAGTTTGAAATCAGCTTACCATTTGTTGGGTGGACCATATTTCTATTTTCAATAAGACCATATCTTTAAGGAAGGAAAAAAAGACTCTTCATTTAATTTTTGCATGTTTTATTCAAGACAAAAGAACAGATTTTCCATATTTTATAATATTACCCAGACTACACATTGTTCATTTGAAAATTGATTAAAATGACGTTAACTTTTATACACTTAATTTTTATCACCAGGAAATTTGTAAAAACCCATGCTCTTTTTTTTTGCTTTCTCGGCGAATTAATTATTTTAGTTTGTAATGTTACAATATATGATTTCAAATGGATTAAAATTACAATTACCATAATATAATTGATTAATTTTTGTGATTGTTTAGGAGAACCAAAAAGACGGAAGACAGGGAAACTGAAGCCATTAGACAGACAAAATGGATCAACAAATGGCGATGTTTCCCAGTTTCAGCAGCCGAAGAAAGACCGTGAACATTTCAGGAAAGCCCTCGTCGATATCATCATGTGAGTATATATATAGTTAACTTACTGGAAGGATTACACAAACATGTACACATATAAAATGTACCAAATCATCTAGACATATCTTATTGTAGAATTTTATGTTCATGAAACTTATAAATACTTGGCAAAAAAAAAGAAGAAAAAAACCTTGTGATAGCATGAATATAGCTGTAAGGTTTTGTCTGTTGGCACCTGAGGAGAGAAGATCCTGAAGCCGTGGAAATCTATCCTCTTGACTCACACTAATTAGGTCCAACATGAAGTTATCTATACAAAACAAAAATTATGTATTAAAATACGGGTCCCTGGCTTTTTTTTTTTATCTCAAAATATTAACATACTACAGGTCTCTGGCTTTTAAAAATTGTATCTCAAAATATTAACCTATTTATTTATAATATATAATTATATATGAATAATATATGATAATACAATACATTGGTGTTAAGGTTTTTTTCTTTAATGTTGACTCTTTGAAGTATCTGCATCACAAATTTGATACTTTTTATTCAACTTTTTGAAAATCACCAAATATCAAGCAATATAAACCATTTCATACCTTAAAACTTCTTATTTAATTAGGCAAAGGTTTAATAATTTGCATTTAACATAATTTTTTCCCCTTCCAGGCAAGATGATCAGGGTATGCCCCACAGCAGTACAGCGTCCATGAATGGAGACCTGCCACCTCTGTCTCGCACAGGGTCTCCCACAGGGGCAGAGAAGGATATTCTGGTAAGTCTCCAAATCCGAAAGTGTGACTAGCTATAGTTTATGACTTTAATCAAACAGATACTTTTCTGTTTTCTTTGGATAAAAGTGTCCCAATATCTGAGTGTCTTAAACACAGAAGTGACAAACTCTCTCCATCATTTAAAAAACCCATTGTCAATTATTTTATGAGGAAATTTTGTTGTTATATAGAGGTTTGCAATATAATGAGGGAGAAATGTAACAGAAAGGTAAACACATGTGCTGGAAAAAGAACCATGAAAAATGGAAGGACTTACAATAATTAATATAGAAAATGAAATGTTAGGTAAAATTCACATCCTGATTTTAATATGTCCTCTGACAGGAGTTTAATGCATTGTATTGTATTCTCATTATGCAAATTAACAAATTCAATTCATCTGTACTATGAACAAATAAAATCAATCTTTTTCAAAACTGGGGTCTCAAGCAAGTGATTAATTTGGCACTGCATGTAGAAATATGGAATAGAAATGTGAAAAGAAATTGTGGTCCCTTTGATTTTTTTCCTCATATTTTTAAACAAATGCATATACAGTACAGCTGGGTAATCATATCAAATGTCAGTGATTTTACCTATGAAAGTCCACAAGAAAAATATCAGCTATGTTAATTATTCTGTGATATATTGATATAACCACGGATAATAATTTGCGAACAGCTTTGAGAAGACCTACAAACTAGGTTGTGATATAGCAGTATATAAGAACCTCAAATAATAATAATTATTATTATATCAGATCTACTTTTACATGACTATGGAGATGATTTTACAGCTTGAGACCTGTATTTCACACGTTTGTATCTAATTACAGCGTTACTATTACTACATCCACAACGGAATTGACACTGAGCATGTCGCTCCCATGGAGGACTCCTGGCTGGAAAACGTCCTCACTCTGGTCCCGTACGAACTCAAGGTATGCATTAAAGACAGAAATAACAAAAAAGTCCTGTAAAACTGAAGATAGGTAAATATCACAGATGTCGATTGATCTCGAAAAAACTCAAAGAAGTTCACAAACCTTACCTGCTTAATCTATAAACAAATGAAATCATGTTCACCTCTGAAATTTCGTAATGAACTTTTCCAACCTTTGAGTTTAAGAAAAATTGCAACTTATCACGATAAAAGTGATTTCTAATATATATATTTTTTTGATAATATTCAAAATAGTTTCAGAAAATTTGGATTATTATGAATATTCATGTCAAAGGTTTGAAGGATTGAAAAATTGAAAATGTTATGTTAAAGTAATATTTGACTTATATACGGTATGATATCTTACAGTCATGTTATTTTTTTTACTGATTTAATTAATCGTAATATGAATTTAATCATAATTAAACATAAAAAAATCACAAATTGTGATCAATAACTTTATAATTATTATTTGTATTAAAATTCCCTGTGCACTTCCATCCGGACCAACAAGAGTGAATAATAAAAGTTGAAATAACTTGTTTCATAACTGTTGTAAAGGAAATAAAGTTTATATTTATAGTTATTATTTAATTTATCAATTCAATAAACTACAGTGAAAATTTACTTGTTTAAGTGAGATTTAGAAAACTGTTTATTGTAACTCAATTGCATATATTTTATTGTAATACAACGAGAATTGAAAGACTTTGTTGGCATTTTTGAATAATTTGAATATTAATTTCTTAAACAGACTGGCCACGGAGAGACAATTGAGAATTTGTCAGATGAAATGAGAGAAGACTATCTGCTCAGTGTAAAGAAAGCTATTGGTGAGTGTTGCATTCCCATACGTATTTTGTTAAAAGCATATAGGGATGGATTTATAAACCAGAGGTTTTGGTCAGTCAAACCACCTAGACATAACCAGTTTAAAACATTTTGTATTTCAACTTTTTGCATAAAAATTTACCCTGAACTGAAGCCTCATGATAACATGTAATTTATTGATATTTCCAAAAGGTTTCTAATACAAATGTAAACTTCTTGAACATTTTTGTATTAAAATAAGCGTCAAGACTCGAACCTATTTAATGTGAAATATATTAAGAAACTTTATAGAGATTTTATCCTTTTTTTTTGGTTTGATTTCGAACATGGCTTAGACATTCTCCCCCTGAAAAATACTAGTCGTTTTTTTCTTTCCGCAGTGAAGTTGCGAAAGTAAGACTAAGGTGTCGCTTTTCCAGCGACGGCGTCAACATTAAGTTGTTGCGTTTAACTTACTTTCACTGAAAGTACATTTTGTATAAGTGCTAGACCAACCAAACTTGGACCATTGATGCATCTGAGGTAGTTTATCTCAACCCATGCATCAAATGCTGGATGTTGCCTACCTTTCATGGTCCATTGACTTTGTCAGCATCTCCATCAATATTAAGTTTTGTGTTAAGTTAGTTTCTCTGATATGTGCATTGATGTTCAAAGTGGGGCACAAGCGAGACATATCAATCCGAATGGCTTGTCTACTTTTCTTATGACTTGGTCAGGGAGAATTACTCATATAGCTGATTCAATAGAGCATAAGACAAGTAAACCGGATCCTGCAGAGGTTCTGGGTTCAATCCCTAGATGAGAGATTGAAAAATAATGATCTCTGTCATAATTTGAATTAATTTTTTGACCTGAAGGACTAGTATAGTGTTGTGTTGTAACTGAAGCCGTTTATTTTCTGTTACAGTTGACTTCGTGCTGAAGGACCCGCGGGAGAAAGAAGACGACAACAAGGAGAAGCCTCCTCCTCATCGCGAGGAAATGGATGTCGTACCGAAACCCTGGCACAAATCCTTTGTCCAGGGCCTGGAACTGACCACACAGAACCTACACATAACCACACCCTGTATGCTGCAGGTCCTCGACTTCTGGCATGTCTCGTTCGGGTAAGTTCTATGTTGAGATGATGATGATTGGTGTGTGTGTGTGGATGAGAGTTGTGCATGTGTGTTCATGTGCTATGTAATATATCCTGGAAAATGTTTGAAAAAAATAAATAGAAAAAAAAGTTCAATGTTTCACATTTTCAGATAATAAATTACATATTTTACATTTCTTCAGGGACGTAACATTTTTCACGCATTGTTAGATATTTATTGTTCAATTTTTTTTTTGCCGGGTAAATTTTACATTTAAGTTTTAGGTGGGTAGTTGTTACAAGTCTGATAAATCTGTTTGTCTAGCTTGTATTTAAATTAGTTTAAAATTCTGCTTTAGATCTCTAATAGGAAATTTTAGCTTAAACCACTTGTCTGATATAAGGACATTAACCTTATTTAAGTTTTCCCATTGATACATTTTTATAACCATTCATGCTGAAAGTATGTAGGTAAAAAGAAATTCAGCTAAGTCGTTTTTGTATTGTCTTTGCAGCAACCTGCGGTTCATTGATATCGAGGAGTTCCACAATCGCGTCGAGTCGATGGAGCTCGGACCGTTCCAGACACTATGTATGCGGCACGTAGAGGCAGCTAAAGACAGACTACTAAAAAAGTAGGTCAACCTCATTCTGAATATTTCAAATTTCCGTATTCTATCACTGGTCTCAATTAAGCTTGATCCTGTTTTAGTAATGATGACTCCCTAAAAATTGGTATTGTTCCCTAAAATGTTTTACCTAGAACCAATGTGCTCGTAGAAAAGATCTCCATTCAAATATTTCAGTAAGAACCACTGACACATTTGCAGCTTTATTGCATTAAGTTAAAAGCCAGCAATTTCTGTTGTTCATGTTTAAAGAAAATAAGATTTATAGAAACATAGCCATGGACCTTATTATTTGACCCTTGATCTGAGTCAGTTGGCTTCTTTAAAAGACTTTTATTTAATTCCATTTTTGAAATCATAGACCCTTAGATAATAAGACCTTGGTGTGGATGAGCTCTTTGCTTCAGGAATAAACCTCTTTTTAACTCCTTTGTGTAACCATGGACCCAAAAATTGTGATAACCAATCAAATACATAATGTAGGAGGGAGATGGCTCTGGACTGGAAATAGAAATTAACTTACTTTCACTGAAAGTACATTTTGTATAAGCGCTAGACCAACCAAACTTGGACCATTGATGCATCCTAGGTAGTTTATCTCAACCCATGCATCAAATGCTGGATGTTGCCTACCTTTCATGAGAATTAATTGTTAAAATTCAACCTTACTGATGTGGATATCAGAAATAGGTGTTTTGTCAGGGTGCTTTTTAGGTCCGATTGAAGGACCCTTTCCTTATTTATTCTTTTGAAAATTTCCGATTGGAAAACCTTAAAAAAAAAGAGCACAAATTGAAAAAATGAATTTCTCATAATTGACTTAATTCTCAAAATGCAGCATTTTTGGGAAAGACTGACTTATTGTTAGGCTTAGATACAAGTTAAACAGTCTAATTTCATGTATGCAGATTTTTTAAAATGTTCATCCAAAGTTCCCAAAATGGTATAGAAATTTCATCCTATGGTCCATTTCTGAAAATCCATTGATAAACAGCTGCAAACGGTGTTTATCTCAGAAATTAAATGTTTTATAAACATCCCCATTGGTTGGACCATAGTCACATGGGGGTCGGTAATTAGTGATACTGACATGGTGTTACATTCTCTGGAAACAGTACTGTCAATAACCATTTTATTATGTCATTTAAATTGTAACATCACAATGGTCTCTGCTAAATGCAGTACTTTTCTTCATACATTGTTTTCATATGTTCCACCTTGCTTGATTATTAAAACATTATTTATTATCTAACATAACTATTAAAGACTTTCCTTTCAGTGAATGTGTGGTAAATATAAGACATTGATATACTTCTTCTCAGTCAAAATATCACTTTCTCAGATTCATATTTAACCACATATTCACCTGAGCAAAAGTCAATAATTGATCAATATTTCACAGTAATCAGGCAATGAATTAAATATTTCTCTACATGTATTGGCATTATAAGAGAGATTGCAATATAATTGGCCTTGCTGCAAACATTGTTTTTATATCAGCTTGGCTATATTATTAACATGTATAGACTTTGTGCTTATGCAATAGGTATGCGATATTTTCCTGATGCATAAACTTAAATATTGGCAATGCATTCTATGTACTAGTTCATCCATGAAATGTATTAAGTCAGACAGCTGTACTGTATATATCTGCCAGTACCTGTTCTACGCACAACAATTGGCACTATTGTCATTCTGTATATTTTGGCAAACCAGTTAATATAGTTTACAAATTTCAATCTTGATTTTATGATCTGGAGTGTAGCTGTGCAGATATATTTTCAAAGTAGGGGATATTATAGGCAATGGTTGAAATTATATATTCAAAACAAATCTCTTCAAAAGAACTAAGGTGACCTGCCAGAAATGTACAGGAACCGGTTTTGATATTTTTAATCTTAAGAGAAAATCTCAAAACATACAGATTTTATAATTTGTAGTTGGCATGTATGATAAGTATGTTTTATAATTTTGATTTAGTTTTCAAAATCTGTCATCAAGTTTCTTAAAACTTATTTAATTTTTGAGTTTTATCGTTATTACCGGTAATCTGAATTAGAGGAAAAATAATAAAAAACGTAAAAAAAAATATGACATCTGCATATTCTTAAATTATTCCATGTCAGACTAGTGAACTGACTTAGTACCTGTGTCAGGAGACCAACTCAGGAGGTCCAAAAAATGGTCTCCAAATACAGGTGAACTCTTAGTACATACAGGTGGTTTCTTAATACAGGTTCAATTCAAAATGAAATTATTACAACATTAAAATTTGTCTCCTAACACTGGTGATCTCTTAATGGAAGTGGTAGCATGAACAGTTTTGATTGTATTAAATTGTTTTATTATGCATAAATATGAATTTATTTTTAACTTAGCTTTTGATTATTTTAATTGGGGGGGGGGGAGTATAAATACATATTTTTTTTTGAAGCCCTCAAAACCCTTATGGAGTATGTATACATGTACTAGAATATCCCTACCAGTGTTAATAAAGGTAAAAATGTGCAAAAAGTTGTGATTTAATAGGAAATTGACAAGCTTGAGGAACTTTTTGAAGCCCTCACAACCCTCATGGGGAATGAACTAGAATACTCCTACAAGTGTTTATAAATTTTCAGCTGGGTTGGTGTGTATGTGTACCTTTAAAATGTCTCTAAGTTAAAACTTGCACGTCATAGTCGACCCGTTCAGTCGATACTAGACAAAGGTTATTGAGATCTATACAATTTAGTTCTGGCAGCAATTCAAATACAAAGGCGTACTTAGAAGGAGTAGTGTTGACAAGAGACTGGCATACCCGTATAATCCAATATCATTTAACTTATAATCTTACCCTAGGATTGCTCCAAGACTTTAGTCCAAATTTCAAATGTTGATGAAAGAATTAATTTTATTGGAAATAAATTTCAATTTGGTAAAAATAAAAAAGTCTATAGTTAAAACTTGCACATTTACATAATATGGAATATCATATTTTTATGCGGGAACTGGAAAATGAGAAAAACATTCAAATGCAGGTTAAAGTGTACAAAACTTCATTACCTCCATATAGTTGATACGTGGTCACTAAATGGGACTATGATAATAATTAGTGAATATATGTTTTTATATGATATGGATTGGATGAATAGGCTAAGTGTTCATATCAGCCTTTTGAATGAGACACGTTCCCTGTATTATGTAATTAAATTTGAAATACATGTACCTCTAACAAGTCAAGATTTTATAAACATATTTATGATATGATTCAAATTATATACTGTTGGGTATGATTGCAGATAGTGTATAACCTATGGAATCCTGTTTGTGGTATTATTTAACTTTACTGCCCCAACTTAAACTCAAATGGCAATTAATAATTTAACATTAAACTGAAACATGATCTTTTATTAAATAAAGGTGTTGTAGTATTTTGTGCCTGATGAGAAAATGTAGATTTGAACTTTTATTTTAAAGGGATTTTTTTAGGAATTCTGTAAAAATGTCAATATTGAGTTTTCCTAATTTACAGGGATTTTTTTCTTAAATTCAAATCTCTTTTGTACGTATAAATTGAAACCATTTGATAGTGCAGAATTATTCATATAAACTTATATTATATTGCTGTTTTTATTTCTTATAACAAAGATGGTTTCTTGTGGTCCAGATCATGTTCTACGAGGAAAACAAAATTAAAATAAAATCAGATTATATTACTGATGTTTCTATTTCTTATATCACAGATGGTTTCCCGAGGTCCAGATCATGTTCTACGAGGGAAACAAACGCAAACAGGTTCCCAGTAATCAAGATCCAGAGAAGCTTGAATCGTTTTTCAATTGTGCCGCAACTTTGATGACAGACAACCTTCAGCAGCTGACCTTGAACTCTCTCAGCGATTACACTGACCTCTTATGTCAGCCACCAGTAAGTTACGGGAAAAACACATTTTATTAGACCTGTCCAGCAGTAAATATTTAGGCTGATTGAAAATATTCTTTGTCTCAGGTTTCTCTTAACCTGGCTATCTAGCTGTCTCAATGATAAGGAAAAGTGTTATCTAACTGTCACAATGATAAGGAATAGTGTTATCTAACTGTCACAATGATAAGGAATAATGTTATCTAACTGTCACAATGATAAGGAATAGTGTTATCTAACTGTCACAATGATAAGGAGTAGTGTTATCTAGCTGTCACAATGATAAGGAATAGCTTTATTTCCAGTGTCTCTTAGTCCCATTAAGCTTTTCTATATTTAAAACTTTCTTATTCAATACTAAGCATGTTTCGATGTATTCTTTGAGGATTCATAAATATTAATGACACTCAACCATTGCAAATCAATAAATATTAATAAGTATTATGTAAAAAGTCATTTTATCTACCTATGATACCCATTGTTATCATTATTGTCAGAATTTTAATAAAATTGTTTTTGTATGTTAAAAATATTAATAGGCAAAAACCCTAATGTGACATACTGTCATTGTCATACAATATATTCACTTTCTCAGAATAAAATCATAATCTCCTTTAAAACCCAGCTTATAATTAAGACATGATTCTTGTCTTTCTTTTCTTTTATCATTTTCTTTTTCTTTTTAGCATTCTACAAGAGCACATGAACATCCAGGATTTGTGTTGCGTCTGATCCTTGACAGTTCTGGAATCAAGTTTGAGCCGACATTCAAGGAGTTTGAGATGGTCATACTGAACGTGTATGATGTCATGATCAAAGCGTCTGGTCAGGTGCCCAGAGTGGAAACCAAACTCTACCTCGACTGGGTAAGATAAAAATATTAACGACATTTTCAAAAGGTTTTAACGGCTATCACAACAAGAGTATCGAGTAAATTAAAACTAAAATTTCAACGAAAGAAAAGTTTCACAATTTTTCTGTTTTCATTGGGTTTTATTTTTAGTCAGAAATTATGCTTTATTTCTTTATTTTGAAAATTTAAATCTTATAACATGTACCAGTATTTGGATACTTTTTTTAAAAATTCTGAAATCATTGCGATACAAGGGAGGGAATAATAAAAAACCTGAATAATGAAGTAGGTAAATGTTTATTAGTGCCTGATAATATTTTTGTTTTCCATATTTTTATATGCACCAGTTTTTGTCTGGCTGGGTAGTTTGGTGTCAATATTTTGTCTAGATCACAACTTCCTTTCTATTTTACCCATGCTCACTAAATTTACTAATACATCTGTATTTTGGGATGACAGAGTATTCCATACTGAAATTTAATTCCTCACGCTAGACATTTATGACCCATTGTTAATTTGTTTATGCCGACATTCTCTTTTCTATTGATTTTTCTGTTTATCCCATACATCCTTTATCTTGCCTCTAAGTTGTATAAGTATTCAATATAGAAGTACCCAGAATTTCGCGAGGATATTAAACCCTATGAAAACAAACCAATCCCATGGTCTTTATAAAACTTCAAAGGGAACGTATTATGACAAATTGTGAACAGATGTAAGTTTGACATTGATAAATTTGATACACAGGAATGAAATGGGGGGGGGGNATAGTGTTGCATTTATGTCTTACAGACATTTTCTAGTTTTTAAATATTTTATTAATGTTTATTTACAGAGCGGCAACAAGAACAAGTCGAACTTACAGCCAATCATCCTCCTGGACATCGTGGAGGCACACAAGCAGAAGGTGCGTGAAGTCATCAGGAAAGAAAGCATCGGACCTATCGAACATTGCAAAATATTCGACAAGTATAACTTCCTGATCTCCAAACAGGTAAGTCATGTCAGGTGTTACTACTATTGAATCTAGTGTCATAAAAAAATGGGTTTAGTTGTTGATAGAATAATTATTTTTCTTGTGAATTGGTTCAGAATTAGGTTAAATTATAGTTGTTTATAATTATAATATAATATCAATATGTTATTTTGATGAAGCACTGAAATTATAAACAGTATTCAAAGTGAACTCCATAATATTTTTTGATAATCAATACCTGAAAAAATCACGGTATCAAATGTGAAAGTTTTTTTTTTTTTTTATGGAAAATTAACTACTTTAATGCAGTAGTGTCATATAGACTACCGGTATGTTGTTTTGTTGTTATAAAATTACTGATTATAACAGGATTATATCTTACTTTAAAATTCATCAATAAAAATTAAAAATGCTCAACACCATAGATTTCCATTGCTTATAGTGAAACAGGAAATATTTGTCTTCTGTTTTATTTTGTGGATATTTTGACCTTTTTCAAGCGGTTGTTGTCAGCATGAGACCAAAAAATATTATGAACTATACAGCCAGTAGTACTGGTAAACATATAGGAGGCCTGGTTCTGAAGTGGGCAGATTGTAGTAAAAATCTGAGTCACAAAAATGTGTTTAGTCCAAACAAGTATGGTTCACCTTTAAAGAAAAAGATGGGAATATTCAGATATTTAGGGAATCAAGTTATGAGGAATTTGTCTTTATTGTTTTCGTAGGCCGAGGCTGATGTGGAAAATTTCGCAAAGGAGACACATTCTTTTGAGGAATACTCAAAGGAAGTGAAGAAATACCAGAAGTTGGTGGAGGAAATCACATACGGCATGCAAAAGGTAAACTCCAGAGTCTTAACCTCATCATAGGGACAGCCAAGTCACATTTACAAATTAAAAAGTTAGATAAAATAATTGTATGTTTTGTGTCATGTTTAATGAATATAACTGCCATCGTTAAGGGGGTCCATTGGTATCTAGCCTTATAGATATGAGGTCATTACATTATTTATAATGGTGACTCCTTTGAGTTGTTCATCTTGGTTTATATTTACCAAAATTAAGTCATATTTGTAGCAAATCAAGACAAGTCAACTGCATACAAAAGTACACTTTTATATGTCATAAATGATGATGAAAAATCCAGTCAAACTTATGGATGATATTCAAGTCAATAAGAAAATGAAGAAATATATTTTGAGTTTTCTTTTTCATTGAAAAAGAATTTATGAACATCAACATATGGTAACTCTATTTTGTAAATAAATAGTCCTGGTTTAAAGAAATACAAAGCTTCAAAATTTTAGTTTCAGAGTTTAATATTGAAAGAAAAGGATAATCTGTTTTTAGAAAATTTTCTTTTGACTATTTTAGGGTAAATTTGAAAATGATCATAGGAGAATTAAGAAAAGTCATTGGAAATTTTTTCATTTTTTTTTGACAGAATAAATCATTTTGATTTTATTGCATGACTAACTGGGTTTAGCTGTATATATATGTATGCACAATAGAAATCTAACATTGCGTGTCAGGGTATTGATTGTCACCCCTTCGCTGATACAGTCAGCACTAGTCTAGTAATGGGGTAGACTACATAATATATATATACATATATACTAGATAGTCACCGATACACTTTATTGTAAATATGCAAAAATCACTTAACTAACATCACAGAAATGTTACGGTGTCTGAGGCCCACCCATTGCAAACTTAACTCAAGTTTACAAACCTAGATTTTCTAAATATTTATTATTTTATTTTTACTTTTAAAAGTTAATTTTCAATGGTGAAACTTTCATGTGTTTGTTTTTTCACCCCATCATATGGTTTAACAACCAGTTTTAAATTGTATTTGTACCTCATGACCTAATATAATGAAATTTTAAGTGAAGTTAAGAATATCATACTTTTTCCTGAATTCTTGAATTACAAATAAAAAATGATTCTTTGAAGTAAAATTAATAAAAAAAATAAATGAGTGAAACTATGAGGATGAAACATTAAACAAAATGCACAGATGTTTATAGGAATAAATTTATTGTTATAAGGTACGATATAGAGGAAACTTGCCTAACTTGTGTTTTGTTTGTGAGAATGGTGCTGTTGTTCTATTCAATTTGGGTAATCATAATTATTATTTACATTATTCAAAACTTAAGAATCCATTTGTAATGAAAACAAATGACATATTGAAAAAAGAAAAAAACCAAAAAAGTTTTTAGAATTACGTATTTTCATGTTCCACTTGAATTTTCAGGCTTATGTTCCACAAAGAACTTAAAATCATAGATGTTTGGATACAGATTTTTATACAACTTTAATTAAATTCTGATATTAATTACTGCTTTCAATTTTGGAATTTATCATTTAAAAAAAATGTGTATATATGAAAACAATACAATTTGATTAATAAGCTTGATATACAGTGTATTAAGCTCTTTTTATCAAATATTAATATGATGTTATTCATGTTTTCACCCCGATGGTATGGTTCAGTTCTGTTCACCCATTTAACAATGTATTTACTGAACAAACAATTTTTCACCAGGGTGATTCGTTTAGACCAAAGGTATACAGTACATAATTTCAAATCTTTAAAAACTATTTGATCTGTCAAATTTCTCAATGACATTTTTCTGCACAAGTTCCATGCTGTTCCTGACTCATCTCTTCCATTTCCTCCTTTTTACATTATTTCATTTTGACTAGCCAATTCTACTTTCACTTTCCATATGTTTTACATTGCACAGACTTTTAGTGTTAGTTGTATATAATTGGTAATGGGTGTCTGTAGTTAGTTGTTACTATGGTAGGATGTATGTAGTCAACATACAATGTATTACATGTGTCTATTTTAAGGAATGTAAAGACAATTTAATATAACTTCCTAAAATAGATACATGAACATGCTTTTCTCCAATTTCCAGCAAATAGAAAGGAGAAAAAAAAGGAAAACAATTTAAAAGGAAAAAAAAAGGAAAAACGAAAATTTATTTCAACACTTATAGCAAATCTTAACTCAAATAAACCTACACTCCAGACACCAAAAACTTAAGTTATTATATGTGTTTATTTAATACGTAAAATTTTAATTCTGGAAGTCTTTCAGGAAACCAAAATTTGCTGAGTTACCAGTTTTCCACTATTTATAATTTACATTTGTGTATTTAGTAATTACCCAAGCAAAAACTGTTTTTATCTAATTCTTTTTCTGAAAAAAAATGTGTCTGGTCTGACAAGGTTTTTCTGTGAAAATTTGCTGCTGGAAATTCTAGAAATATTACTTTTTCTTCAATTCTTTATGTGATTCCCAATACACACAAATCTTAGAGTCTTCTTAAAATTTGACTAATTCCTCAACAATCTTTGTTTCTATGACCTTCATTTCTCGAGAAAAAAATGTCGTGTCCAAAACGACATCTCGTCAAAATAGCATAAATTATATTCTTAGTGTGTTAGCAGACAGGGAATCATTTATGTCATTTTAATGCCAAATTCTTAAATACATTTGTGACATTTTACTTGAAAAATTAATAAATTAAACATTATGCCAAAATGTCAAAATATTATACACTGATCATGACTGCATCCTGATTCTTTTGGGCCGAAGTCCAGATGCCATTTTTTTGAAAAATTATTTCAGTGCTGGAATGAATTGCTTACAGCTTCAATTTTATAATACATAATATATGTTATACATTCAATAGGTAAAATTTAATTGAGTGAGATATTCCTATAAATATTTTTTCAAACCATAAAATCGGAACATTTTGGCAATGTTTGAAATTAAAATAAAGAGGTTTTCTTCACTGGAAGATACAAATATAATAGGTATGTTCAGTAACAAATTCTTTGAAAATTATTGAATACTAAAATACCTTCAAAAATATACTAAAGCATCTTAAAAAAAATGATTTTAATATATCATAGATCAATAACAGAAAAAAATGTGTAGAGTGAGTTGATTATTGTAAATGGTAACCAACAAAGTTACCAGGTTTTGTAATAATAAACGGTCCTTTGATGCAGCTTTGGTAGGTGTGTCTGGTGAGTCAATGTACCTTTCTTACTTTCCTGTTATAGTAAAAATCATGTTTTGAAGGAGCAGGTTTGCAAAGGCCAAAAATTGACTTCAAATATTTTTAAAATTTTCAACGAAATAGGAAAATGGTTTGTATTTAATTGGTCTTAAGATGTTTATAATATTTCAAATATTTGTTCAATAAGTCAATTTCAAAAAATTTCATAAAGTAAGTAAAAAGTTGCTGTCTCACACATTTTAGTTATTTTCACCGTATTGTCCATATTTTTTCCATATGACATAATCTGTTCACAAAAAGTTTTTTATAATAACCTTAAATCATCTGAAAAATTCTAAAAAACAATTAAACTTTTCTCGGTCAACAGATTCAGCCTATTGTAAGAAGAAGAAAAATAGAAATCCCCTAAAAATTACCTAACAGGCTTATTTTCTGACAATTTTTACTTTATTGATGCCAAAAACATCCCTTTTTATATATAAAAAAAATGATGTGCCAAAATATGTTATAGTTTATGATTTGCAGAAGAAGATATGAAGAATTTCTAAAAAGTTGAACAGATTATAATAACAATTGATATAATTGAGTAAGTGCAATTGTTAGATTGAAGATGAGATTTGTGGACATGTATTTATAATTGGAGGATTTTAAACAAATATGACAAACTTGTTGTGCAGGTTTTTCAGTCATTTGGAAACCTCCCTGAAACTGACCAAAATCTATTACTGCTTATTTAATGAACTAAATATTTTGTGGTGTGAGCATGCTTGATGGAAACTCTGATGTGATAATGAGTTTCCATCGTGTAAATATGAAATAAAACATTTCCTGATTCACTTTGACAGGTACTAAGACTTGGCATGTTCGAGGTTCACTGTGATGAACTTATCCGTGCCCTTGCTAAGCGAGCAGAGGGTTTGTGCCAGCGATTGCTCACATGCATGTCAGAAGACCACAAAGAGGCTAACAAAAAGTAAGTCACAATGATCCTTTACACTTATTCGGGTAGTTTTGAATTTTTCGAATACATAAAAAAACAACTTTCTTTGGTATTCTGGAAACTTTTCACTATTCTGATAAAGGGGGAAACAAGTTCTTGCAAAATCACAACATTTCTTTTAAATTCAAAATTTCAGAAGTTTTGTATAAATATTTTAGAAATATCAATAAACTTCCGCTACCTTGGAGATGAAATTAAAAAAAGAAGTTTACCCATAGAAAATTAAAAGTCCATTTTAGGAAGAAAAATACCAATATTGCATTCAGAATGTTATAAAGTCGGGGAAATTTTACCTGGACCATCACGAGTGGTCAAACAAATAAGCTGTGTGTCACCAACTATATGGTGATGATGATTTCAAACAACAAACATTTTTTTGTATCCCAGATTGTGTGACGACTACGAGGAGATTGCAGAGAAGGCGTTGACAACACCCGCCAACACCGAAAAATTGATGGAGCTGAAAGCGTACATCGAGACTGTGGAATCGGACATCATATTCAAAATGGAAAAACGCCTGATGGAGTCCAAGGATCGGCTGACTTTCTTGTCGGACTTTGCACAGTTTACCCCGGCCGAGATCCGCCTCAACGCTAATGTGTTCATGTGGCATGGACGCATGCCAGCCATCTTTGAAGAACACAAGCTCATCATTTCGGAGAAGAAATCGCAATATGAAGACGCATTGAAGGTATGAGACCATATCAAAGTTTGTATAGATATTGTCTTATAAGACTGTGTGAAACATTTTAATTAACCATGTCCTATAAATAGATCGCTTTAAAATTAAATATACAGTTTCTAGCATAGCATCTTAGCGATACCTTTATTCTTTTAATAGACTTTATGAAACTTTTTAGTTTATCATATTCTATAAATAGATAGCTTCAAAATTAAATGTACAGTTTCTAGGATAGCATGGTAGCGTTACTTTTGCTCTTTCATGTGTATCAAAAGGTGACCTGTTGATGGTCTTGTGATCAAAGCTTGTTTCACTAGAGTGACTTAAATCATATGTTGGTGTATTTATTTCCTCAATATTTCTTTAAAAGAAAAGGTTATTTGAATTCCTTCCTTCACAGAATCTCAATTACATTAGATGATTCAAAAATAAATTAATCCCATTTAATGTTTAACTTTCAGTCATATTTTCTACATGAATGTTGTATGATTTATCCACAGTTGCGTAGAGATCGATTCAGTGAAGAAATGGAGAGTTACCAGAAACAGCTTGAAGAGTTTGCAACCTTTGGTGACATGAATGACATCCAGAAATATCTGAGGAAGGCCCAAGCTCTCGACAACAAATTGAATGTGGCTCAGGAAAAGGTGGGAAGGATTTCAATTCGTTGACATAATCGAAATTACTTTCATTAACTTAAAGGTAACCTTTTAAGCCTTCTGAAAAACAATATCCAACAGCCATATGAAAAAAAATCAGTTTGTATAACAGGCAAATGGGTTTCATTACGGTAAAGACAAATCAATTATGTCTTTTTTTTCTTATAACTTTTTTGCATGGCAATGTTGGAATTAAATAGCAATAGAAAAGTGAATGGCAATTTTTACTCCATTTAAATTACAATTTATTTTATTTTAACAATTATGATTTGAAAGTAGATTCCTTACATTCAAATTTTTGTTTTAATGGTAAAAATTTCGTTATTCTACACAATTGTTTCATAATTGTTTCATTGAAGAACATCCTCATTTGTTGAAATCGAATTGTTCATCTTTTTTTCCTGTAATTCGTGTACAGATAGAGGCATTCAACAATGAAGAAGAGGCGTTCGGCTGGCAGACGACAGCGTATCCCCAGAGACAGGGAATCATCAACACACTAAAGCCCTACCTCAGTCTGTACGAACTCACTGTCGACTTCAACAACAAATACAAGTAAGCGACGCACTACCACTCGGCCTGGACTTATAATTACTGATTTTGATGTCCCAATAGCTGTCAGCTCTCCCTATATTTAGGAGGGAGAATCCCTCATTTTGACCAAAATTTACCAATCCCCCTAGAAACTCCCTCATTCAAGTCCTAACTCACTCAAACTCAGAATCTACAATCTGTGGTCAAATGATCTCCTAGTTACTGCAGGGTGTGTGTAATGATCATAACAGGTGTGTCTGAATCAAATGAATGATATTTTGATACATGAAAACGTAAAGATAAATTGAGCAAAGCAGTTTCAGTTGCAGTTCACACACTTCCTCCCTCGTTGGAAATTTGGAATGAGGGAGATCGCCCTCATTGGAGGTTTCAGAGGTTGACACCTTTGTGTCCCCGCCAATTTACGGGACGGCAAATATCAAGTGTCACCTGTGTCCATCCCATTCCCTCTTGTTTTGGTCCTTCAAGACAGACTGATACTTTTTGTTTTAAATATTTTCAACAAGGTTAATACAAAGGTCAAGTATAGTACAATGTTTACCTTGAGTAAGTTTGTATTTTGAGAGTCCCAAGGTCACTGGTGCTATTTCAATGTCAACTACATGGCCAAAGGTTCATTTGAAGTCCTACAGATATTTACTGGTTGGGATTTTTTTTTAAATTAGTGATTTTTATTTTTATACCTTTTTCTTTTTGAAAACAAACAAGCTTTAAACAATAGGGGCTGAAACCTGACCTGTTATTGACGTTGGTTTTACCTGCTTGTAAATTATGTAATACTAGTAACTTGGTATTCCGTCTTTGCGTATTGCAGAGTTATCTTCTCTTATGAGCAGGTATCGATTGTTACGTCATTGGTTTGTGGGAAAATTACGTCATTTTCTCAAAGATTGATGACGTTACTCTCACAAACAAATGACGTAACAATCAATACCTGCTCCCAAGAGCAGATAACTCTGCAATACGCAAAGACAGAATAACTTGATATGGTGGCAAAGTCTAAGACTTGTAATAGTGCTGTTAAGAAACTTTGTCTTTATAGAATATGGAGGTTGCTTGGATTTTGAAAATGTTCACGATGGACAATACGTGTGCCAGCTTTGAAGATCTATAGTGGTTAGAAGCACATTGAACAGAAAAGAAAAAAAACGAACATAAATATTTGATTTAATGAAAATTCCCTAAAGAATTTCAAGCTCCAAGCTGACTGATGGGCACTATCTGAATTCATTAACATATATGAGAGTTATTTTAAACTTTGACCTTTGACCTTTCCAGAGAATGGATGGATGGACCAATGAGTGGAGTTGATCCTGACGAGGTTGAACAGGATGTCGGAAACTTCTGGAGAAATCTCTACAAACTGGAGAAGCAGTTTGACTCCGTCCCAGCTGCCAAGAAAATTGCTCACAAGGTAAAATTATTAAAGACAAAAAACAAAGTTTTCATTACATATGTATTGTTTCCATCGAATGAGAGTCTGCAGTATTCATGAACTTAAAGTGGAGAGAAAACAACTTCAAAATTTACACATTGCTTAATTTTCAGTCACTGAATAATGCAATTTCAACTTGTTCATTACGAAATATCCCCCGAAAAAATTTCAGATGAATCTTTTTTTTTTTTTAAATTGACTGACTCCTCTGAAGTAGGAATTTTGGGAAAAAATGGAAAAATAAAAAATAAAAACATGTACAATGTGGTTATCTTCAAGCAAACACGACCCTTTGTGGAATTGCTGTTCATTTATAGTGTTTGTATGATTTAGATGAAAGCTTCCGATCAATGTACATAACTTTCTTATATCAATTTTTTGTGTAATTGAAGAATAAAATTTGTCTTTTGTAGGTTAAGAACAAGGTAGAGGAGTTCCGAGAGCACATGCCGCTCGTCAACACTCTGTTCAATCCTGGTCTCCGTGACCGTCATTGGGAACAGATATCGGAATCAGCTTCCTTCCCTCTGAAACCAGACGACAGCTACTGTTTGTCCAAGTTTGTGGACATGAATCTTGATGCCCATATTCCAAGATTTGAGCAGATCAGTGAAGCAGCTAGTAAAGAATTCTCCCTGGAGAAAGCCATGGAGAAGATGAAGACAGAATGGTCGGAAGTGAGTCTTTTGTAGTAAAAAAACTCCGAACATTCAGACTGTGTAGTTAATTTTGACTTTCATTTTTTCTATTCTGATATTTATTGAGATAAAAATTTCACGCAAGGATAGCTTTAGTATGCAAGCTTATAATTTTAGGAAAAATGTTTTTTTAAATGGATTCTTAAAATTTCAAATATAGTATTCTGAATGAACTTCGATTCAGGGTCCATATTCATGAAATACAAATCTCCTGCTGAAGCATGGATTTTGGGATCAAACCAACTTTCTTGTAACTACCCTACCATGTGACACAGTTTACATTGTGTAAACATTGAAAACACTGTTCAGCTTTAAGCCCCCTCATAACTCTCCCAAAATCATTGTCATAATGTGAATATTTATTAATTTATCACATGAAAACGAAATTGAACTTTAGCACATCTGTCAGTTTGGGCATGAGAACAGTTTTCATTTATACTGGCCCAACTGTCCCTCAAAACCACCTGCTGTATAGTGGGAGGATCAGTGTCCTTTGATAATTTAACCTTAGGAAAAAACTGGGCTTCGGAAATTAAATCGAAGAAATGTTAAATTTGATAAGATCACAATGCAAACTAAAGCGTGAAAATAAACATGCTATTCTTATTTTTGTAAATGTATACATGTATTATACACTTAAAAATAAATTTCTTAGCTTGTGTTTTGTCACATAAAAATCACATTCTGTCTTATGTGCATTATCTCGATGTTCGATGTAAAATATTTTTGAGTGGAAGTCTCGTTGTTTCAAACTTTTTTCAATGGTCCCACAAAGTTGGAAATATCGAAGTCTGACTGTATCTGTCATATATGACACCAAATTAGCTAGTTAACTGCTTTCGTTTCCAGAGTGTAATGCAGATCTGTAATAATGATATCTTTGTCGTTTTTAGATTGAGTTTACCATCATCCCGTACCGTGACACAGGAACTCAAATTCTGTCGTCCGTCGACGACATCCAGCTTCTTCTTGACGATCACATTGTCAAGACGCAGACCATGAGAGGGTCGCCATTTATCAAACCATTCGAGAATGAGATTCGGTAAGAGAAATCACATCTGTTGAGGGCTGAAAAAAAATGGTCTGTTGGCAAAATTATATTTCTGACAAGGTCAGAAGTCCAAGCTGGCATGTTACCATATTAACTCATTCACCCCTAAAGACCCATTTGAACTCTTCCTACTCAAATGTTGGAATAGATCATTATGAAATTTTAGGGCGAATGAGTTGAACAAATAAATACTGTATACCGAATATTTTAGCCTAGTCAAACTTTTCCTCTTTGGCCTTGAAATAAATTTCGGCCCAGTGTTCATTTCGCTCTCCACACTTATCAAATTAATAGTTTTTTATGCTGTTTACTTATATTCGTTGTGATGATAAATTTGGCCTCATTATGGAGTGCGAAAAATTTTAAACGGCGAAATTTTCCGGTAAACAGAAAATGCTGTGAAAAAAAGGAAGTAGTTTCTGGTTTATACATGTTTCTGGTTTATACTTATTTCTGGTTTAATGTTTCTGGTTTATACATGTTTCTGGTTTATGCAGGTTTCTGGTTTATACATGTTTCTGGTTTATACAGGTTTCTGGTTAACTCTTGCATTAGTGACAGTATGTACTGTAATCAGGTAAATAAATTGTGTTTTTTACAGAGACTGGGAGGGAAAGCTTATGTTGCTTCAGGATATTTTGGATGAATGGCTGAAAGTACAGGCTACCTGGCTGTACTTGGAGCCCATCTTCAGCTCTCCCGATATCATGGCCCAGATGCCGGAAGAAGGGCGTCGCTTCACAACTGTCGACAAAAACTGGAGGGACATTATGAAATCTGCCGTTGTTGACAAGCACGTGTTGGCTGTCATTGAGATCGAGAAAATTCTCGAAAGACTTAAGAAGTCAAACGAGTTGCTGGAATTGATTCAGAAGGTAATTGTAAAATCTTATAGAAAGTACATGTATAGGTAATGTTTAAAAAAAATGCAAGATATGCTGATTCCTGCGGTTTGTACCACACTTCAGATTCTTTACAAAAGTATCACTATCGTTGATATCCAAGCCTAAAGTCATTGTAATCCTTCAAATATTTGGAAATTACAAAATTGAACATCAGTTTTCTTTTTAAGCATCCCCCCTATTATTATTTAGTTTTCTTCAATCTAGAATCCTGTGTTTGTGGGAAAGCCAAAGTAGGTATATAAATTAGTGGTAGAAATAGATTTTTTTCCTAAGTTATCTCCCTTGCCAACTTTTGGCACATTTAATCTCATGAAAAAGCTTTTGCATTCCTTGTTTGATATCTGTGACAGTCTCAGTACTATCTTTCTTCTAATCATTTTCTTATGTTTAAATTTACAATGCTCCTTATCTTACAGGGTTTGAATGACTACCTAGAAAAGAAACGTCAGTTCTTCCCCAGATTCTTCTTCCTGTCCAACGATGAACTACTAGAAATCTTGTCAGAGACCAAAGACCCCACCAGGTATATATACCATGACTCTTTATTGAGTACACAAAGTTATTGATGAGAATGTTTTTTTTTGTTATATTTAAGGTTACCGTGACGATGGATCTTTAATTAATTGATTATAGTTGCCTTCACCATTTGATTTAGGAAGGAGCTTAAATGTGCTCATTTAATGGCCAATTAAAATACATAAAAAAAAGGAGAAAGTTTTTGTTCAACTAATTTTTCTTTTTCAATTGTTTTTGATGCTTATTTTATTCAGCTTGCCAATATTGTTGACTTTGACAGCTATTCTCCCTGTGATGCATAGTTAAGCATTGAACTGATTTCAGTCGGCATTCATAGGCAATATGAATGCCAACTGGACAAAGGAAAATTCAATGAAGCACGCTAGCACTTCATGTTGTATTTGCCTTTGTCCAGTTGGAATTCATTTTTCCTATGAATGCCAACAGAAAGCAGTTCAATACTTATATTTACCATTTTTCTAATCTGTTCATTTCATAGAAAATTCAATTACATTTACTATTATTCAACATTTAGTTTAAATAATTTATGTATCGTTTATGCTTGTTCAATGAATAGAACAGTCATCGCGCAAGGAGGGTCAGTGGTATCCAACATAACAATTATGACATCATAATAATGATGACGTCAACAATCGGTCCATGGCATTCATAGCCTACATGAATGCCAACTGATTTTGGTAGGGTTATATAGTGACAATGCCATACGATGGTAAATATATATATATGTCTTAACAAAAAAGTGTGCAATTTCAATTTACAGAGTACAGCCACATTTGAAGAAATGCTTTGAGGGTATCTCACGTCTGGAATTCACAGACACTTTGGACATCACCCACATGAAGAGCAGTGAGGGTGAGATCGTGGAGCTCCTTGATGTCATTTCCACATCCAAGGCTCGGGGACAGGTGGAAAAATGGCTACTAGAACTTGAGGCGGACATGATTGCTTCCCTCCACAAGGTATTTCTAGAAATGTATCACCGGGGGGAAAAAAAATCCATTAAAAAAGTTTTGATCTGCAGTTTATATACCATGTTTACCAATTTCAATCTCAATTATCTTGAGGTTGAAGATAGGAAAAGTTTCTCTCCGATTGCTTATAAATTGAGGTACTTGACAATTACTTTAAATTGCTATAAATAATTTGTTTCACTGTATACAAAAGAAAATTACTTGCTAGTAAATAGGTGTTTCACAGACTGTAATATTGCATTCACAGGTTGAAAAAACTGTGTTTGACTCAGTTGCATTTCCATTGTTTGGGCCCTGTGCATCAGAGATGCTGGTGCCCTATAGTGATCACGGTGTCTGTCCATCTGGCCAGGGTCTTTACTCATCTGTCAGTGTTTTCAGTTATATGTATATATGTAGTGATTTGTGACTGTTAGTTTATGCGTTATGTATGATTTTTATTTTTTTTACAGACAACTGGTGAGGCTATCGTGGCCTACACGAAGCAGACACGATCAGAATGGGTCAAAATCTGGGCTGGTCAGTGTGTATTGGCCGTAACCGCTATGTACTGGACTACATACATCCACGAAGCATTCAAAAAGGGCGGAAGTGCGCTCAATGATTACCTCCAACTAAATAATGCACAAATTGACGATATCGTAGCGATGGTGCGAGGAAAACTGTCCAAACAAAATCGTGTCACCCTCCAGGCTCTCATTGTACTGGATGTCCATGCACGTGATGTGCTTACTATTCTCGTAAAGGACGAGGTGTGTGACGAGATGGATTTCGCCTGGCTAAGTCAGCTGCGTTATTACTGGGAGGTATGTATATAACCCGCTATAATATTTTTACGATTTTTTTTTTTAATTGTTTACAACATACAGTTATATCATTGATAAAAGTTTCTTGATATGTGTTTAAGTATAATTTGTTGAACACATTTAGGTTCTTGTTTATGAAACTATCAGAAATTATACATGTGTTTACTATGCAATTAGAAAAAGAACAATTATGATGAAAAAATAAGATTTGCTGAGACCTAAAAAATTGTTTTCATTCAAATTTGTTTTTGGTCATAGGGAATATTTTGAAAGTATAAAGTAAAAAAAAAAGAATTTTATATGAAATTGTTATGATTTTAATAACAAACTCAAGTATGTCAAATTGCTATAAAATTAGTCTAATACGGTACTGCTTGGCACATGCCGATCGCTTCTTTAATACTCAATTGGTGCTCATGTACTTTCTCAAATTTTTATATCTACAGGTAAAATCTTAGAAAATTAAGTTGATAAAATTTGATCGTTGCACTTACACTGTATTTTTCTGTTTGCCTTCAGGAGGAACGTATGGTCACTCGTATGATCAATTCTATGCTGAAGTATGGCTACGAATACCTCGGCAACACTGGACGTCTTGTCATTACCCCGCTCACTGACAGATGTTACAGGTATAATCTTAAGGATGCCTGTCCCACTACACTGTATATTTTCCTATACACAGTTATCTCCCCTTAACTTACTTAAGGATGCCTGTCCCACTACACTGTAGATTTTCCTATGCACAGTTATCTCCCCTTAACTTACTTAAGGATTCCTGTCCCATCACACTGTAGATTTTTCTATACATTGTTATCTCCCCTTAACTTCCTTGAGGATCCCTGTCCCACAACACAGTAGATTTTCCTACAAATAGTTATCTTCCCTTAGTTTCCTTAAGGATCCCTGTCCCACTACACTGTAGATTTTCCTATGCACAGTTATCTCCCCTTAACTTCCTTGAGGTGGCAGAGTACAGTAGAAATGGCTTGACCCTAAAAATAAAGGGCATGTCTCGGATAAACATGGATAGCGGATTCATCCTGCACAACACACCTACATATATGTATATATTTATAACCTACATTTTGAATAGGTGTTTTTTAGAAGAACATTTTTTTTTTCAAAAAGTGATTTCCCCAGATTTGGGACTTCTGAAAACCATGGTTACCACATCAAAAAACACCAAAATATGCAAAAAATCATGATTTTTAACCCAGAATTTGACCCCCGCAAGTAGAATTGTTTTTCTTAAAACCTGTCTGAAATTAAATATCGCCTACTCGGTAACAGAAATACTCACGTTTTAGCATAGGTCATTCCGGTGGATTTTTCACAATATTTACACATGTGCTGAGTACAAAAATAGACTACATGAAAAGCTAGCTTTTGTTGTGTAGACACAGATTCGTAAATGCCCAAAATTGTAGTCTCAAACCAAATTCGACTTTTCTTTTTTTTAAATTATGAAGCCCACATAGTCCACTTCATCATGTATATGCCAATTTTAGTGCTGATTTTTTTTTTAAATTTTGATACATGTTATATTACAGGGGTTATTCATNTCCCTGTCCCTCTACACTGTAGAATTTTCTATACACAGTTATCTCCCCTTAACTTCCTTAAAGATCCCTGTCCCACTACACAGTAGAATTTTCTTTACACAGTAATCTCCCCTTAACTTCCTTAAGAATCCCTGTCCCTATACACTGTAGAATTTTCTATACACAGTTATCTCCTCTTAACTTCCTTAAGGATCCCTGTCCCACTACACTGTAGACTTTCCTATATAGTAATCTCCCCTTAACTTCCTTAAGGAGCCCTGTCCTATCACACTGTAGAATTTTCTATGCACAGTTATCTCCCCTTAACTTCCGTTTAGATATAACTGTAGCACAGTTTGGCCAGATCACTTCTGTTGACCAGTTATAGCTCAGTTGGTTAGAGCGATAGTATATATATCAATCTGAAGTACAGGGTTCCAATCCCGGTCTAGCCATGCTGAATTTTTTACATTCAGAACACTGTTGTTGAATATATTTTGTTTATATCATCTTTATTATTTCTCCTAAAAGTCCCACAAATTACGGTTTTCTTTTCGGAAATGATTTATCAAAGCTACAGTCCTGCCGGAAAAAACAGTCTCCTATGCATAGTTTCAGTTATTGACAGTGGTACGGGGATCCTTAAACATTTGTTCCATTTTTTATGACCCCAGTATTTTTATTGTGGGGGGGTGGTGTGTTTGGGAGGCGGGCATATAGGGTTACCCATGTACGTTCTGTCCCCTTCCCTCCCATCCTGTTGCAATTCATTGTCATAAATCTTAACAACTTTATTTTATAGCAAATTTTCATCCAAGTTTAAACAAAGGTCAAGTTCAGGTATGCCTTGGATAAGTTTGTATTTTGGGTCCAACGGTCAATGTGAAGGTCACTTTTGCTATTCTTTGGTCAACCCCAGGGTCAAGGGGTTTAAAGATGGTTTTTAATATATAGAGACCTAATGTTCGTTGAGGTTTTTTCTAAAGTCATTTTTGATTTGAAAATTAGTAAAACTAAATGAAGAAATTGGTTTTGTTGTTATAAACAATAATTTGTATTTCTATTATCATCTTGTGTTTGGAGATAAATCTTTAAATCTGTTCCCATGTTTGATTATAAATTCTAGTGTCTGAAAAGCAACATTTGAAGAAACACTTGTTATACAGTTGTTGATGTTCAATTATAATGCAGCCTAATAATTTGCATAGAAATAAAATAAAAACAATTTAAATATGACTTTGATCCTTTGTCGAGAAAATGCAACTATAACTATAAGCACAGTTCCATTGCTGATTGAAGGCAAAATGCACCAGAATTCTTCTACTGAAATGACAAATTTTGATATAAGAGTTTTCTCCAAGTTTCTTTTCTCATTTTAGAACCCTTTTTGGAGCTCTTCACCTTCATCTTGGTGGGGCTCCTGAGGGACCTGCAGGGACCGGGAAAACTGAAACTACCAAGGATCTTGCCAAGGCCGTTGCAAAACAGTGCGTTGTCTTCAACTGTTCCGATGGTCTCGACTTCATTGCCCTTGGAAAATTCTTCAAGGTAATTTTCTTAAATATGTCAGATAAATTGCAAAAATGAAATACTTGCTAAAACTAGTTTTTACAGTAACGTTTTACTGTGTCTGCATATTTGTTGTTACCGAAAATCTTAATATAACGCTGGTATCAAATGAGAAATATTGGATCAATATCAATATTTCAGGCAAAGAAATAGAAACATGAAAGCCCTCCTTTTGCAAATCTGGTGAAACCGTTTCAAGCAGTTGAACCTGAAAAGAAAACGTCATGTTCAGCTCTGAACCGAGGCTGACCTCAAGAATATTCGGCACGTGCATATTGAGGGGTCCAGGCGTGCCTGACTTAAACTAAAATGCTGACTATTGCTAGTTTGCATTATTCCTGTATAAAACAAGGTCAATTCACATATATATTTTAGGATATGTTTTATAATTTAGCAGATACGTGAAAGAAGGACATTTTATTCTTGATATATTGTTATTTATATATTATTGTGGTATGTTTGTGTGTCACTTGAACTGTTATCAACTGGGATAAAAGAATGCAACCAAAATTGGTATTACAATTACTGATGGTAAGAGATGATAGTGGTAATTAGCTAATTACAATATACAACAAATACTGAAATGTCTGAACATTTTCATTTCGTAGGGTTTGGCCTCTTGCGGTGCCTGGTCATGCTTTGACGAGTTTAACCGTATTGATCTGGAAGTGTTGTCCGTCGTGGCTCAGCAGATTCTTACTATCCAAAGAGGTAAGTACACTAGCTGTAAAAATATTACATGTCAAGTCTCTGCAACAACTTTTCACCCATTTATAAAGATATTTGTGTTCATACATTTTAAAGCCTGTTCTGTCAAAAGAAATCTTCGAGACCATACATGAAATGAGAGATAAAAATAATCAAAAACAGTTATTCAGATGTCATTATGAAAGTAAAAAAAAAGGAGTTGAAAATTGAAAAAAAAATTACTACATTGTATTGTAAAAGTGCCGCCATCATATGACCCTGGCTATTCCGTCTTAGCGTATTGCAGAGTTATCTTCTCTTGTGAGTAGGTATTGAATGTTACGACATTGGCTATTGGGCGTACGTTAAATCCCAAACAAAGAAACAAAATCATAATGTGGATTTTTTTGATGCATTGGCGATGGTTCTGACATGTATCCTTTTGATCTGTTATCTTTAACTCATTCACCCCTGAAATTTCATAATGAACTATTCCAACCATTGAATTGGAAGAGTTCAAATGTGTCTTCAGGGGTGAATGAGTAAAATACATGTTGGTGTGTGGATATTTTCACGCTGCTTTACTCAATTAAAAATGTCGTGAGCACACAGAAAATATTTCCACTTCTGCAGTATTTGATGTGTACAATTATTGGCTTATAGGTATCAATGCCGGAGCGGACCGCATGATTTTTGAGGGCACAGAGATCAAGCTGGATCCCACCTGTTCCGTGTTTATCACCATGAACCCAGGTTATGCTGGACGCTCCGAACTACCCGACAACCTCAAGGTAAGCAGTTTTTGTCTTTACAACCTAACACAGAATTTTGAGACGATATACCTCCCTAACTCAATTTAATATTTTAAGGGGAAAACTAAGAAATAAATAAAAATATTTTGAATTTTTTAAATGAGAGTTATCTTCCCTGTCGTACTCTTACAGTATCAGACCAGTCTCAAAAATGTTGGTATATGTATAGCAAATTCAAAAATCATCTGGACACATTGCAGTTAATGGTCCCCTAAAACAGGGATGTTGACAGCAGCTTATCTTCAGTCATATACCAGGGACAAATTTTATCTAAAAAAAATATCAATTTATCAGTAGTTTCCTCCGGAGAGAACAGATTCTTTAGTCTCTTAAAATACCTGTCTCTGTGCTGCACAATATACAAATTTTGTATAAATAATTCCCATAGTCTTAATGTTTTATATGATTAAACCCTTTGCTAGATAAATATAACACTGAAATTGTGAAAGTTTTGTCGGAAGTTCATAGGAGAGAATGATTCCAAGGAAGTAGTAATCAAATTGGATTTTATCGAAAGTTTTGAATTTCATGAGAAAGAAATATGCAAAAAACATGAAATTCTTCTCAAAGATTGGTCCCTGTATCAAAGTTTTGGGGTAAATACAATAGCTCATATTCTGCAATATTGTCCCTGTGTGACGTCCTACACAATTTTTTCAACCTTTATTTCAATCTTTAACCCCCCTCCTCCAAAAATATTCTGTAATATTTGAATAATTAATAACTCATTTACCTCTACATTTTTAAAATGGACTTATAATTACCCAGTCTTTAATTTAAAATCGGTGAAGATAGTTTAAGCACTAAAATAAGTATGTTCAACTTAAAACTAATGTTTCTACCATAAAATATTTGTATTTTAGGCGTTGTTCCGTACTGTAGCCATGATGGTACCTGACTACGCGCTGATTGCCGAGATCTCACTCTACTCCTGTGGGTTCGTGCATGCCCGTCCGCTCTCGGTCAAAATCGTGGCAGTGTACCGTCTCTGCTCTGAGCAATTGTCGTCACAGCATCATTACGATTACGGCATGAGGGCCGTCAAGTCTGTGCTTACAGCTGCCGGAAATCTCAAGGTAAATCTGTGTTCATAACTTTTGCCATTTCCAAAGCGTAACTGTAAAGTTAACCAATGGACAATCCAGTCTGTGCTGGCTTGTAAATTAAATTTTATCAGTGTTAGTTTTTTCCGCTTTTCATGAAAAAATGGTTACATCAAGAAAATTGTTTCCTTACCGGAGTATTCAAAATGGAAAATTAAATTAAGGATGCTTTTTTCTAAGTACTTAATGAAAATTAGGATTTTTATGTTAACCTATTTTTTATAACAAAATATTTCTTAAATGATGCAATGCTTATATTCATAATCAACAATATCTCATCGTTTCAGCTAAAATACCCAGAGGAGGATGAAAACGTGCTTATGTTGCGCTCCATTATTGACGTGAACTTGCCCAAGTTCTTGAGTCACGATTTGCCGTTGTTCCACGGTATCACTTCTGATTTGTTCCCTGGCATAAAACTGCCGCCCCCAGACTACGAAATACTCAACGAGGCTATCAAGGCCAACTGCACCAAGTTGAACTTGCAGTGTGTCAACTTCTTCTTGGAGAAGATACAACAGGTGAGATTTAGTTTATAAGGCCGCATTCGCTTATCGCGATCCAAATGGTTGAACCGGTCCGGTTGGACCAGAGTTGTGTGTTAATGAAACAAGGTTGAACCTAGTAATCTGATGCTGCTTTCAGGCAAGCCTTGACAAAGCCTTGCGAGGCCTGCATAAACATTTGCAGGTCCGCCAGGATTTATACCCAAAAATGTTACATCTAAAAACAGGCGAACCGATTGAACTGGATACGCGAAAGGGGCCTACTTCTAAAAGAGACCTCTATGGTTGGCAGTGTGTATTGGTTACAAACTGTTAAACCTGTGATGTCGGGAATGTGACTTGAAATGGCTGAATTTTCTCATGAAATTGATTTTAAGTTTATCTTTGCAAGGTTACTCATTGGTGAATTCGGATCTTCTCTCGATAATAAGATAATAACTATCAAATATTATTGAAATAGCATCCTTTCAATCATGAACTCATGTATTTATTAATAAAATGTACAGGCATAGTTTGCCAAAATAAAGTGGTACAAGATTTTTTTGATTTTTTTTTTTAAATTTTGCATTGAACAGTAAACTTTTGCATATTCAGCATTATCACAAAAGTAATCGTGTCAGTAAAAATACATTTACTTTCCAGATTTATGAGATGATGATCGTCCGTCACGGTTTCATGATTGTCGGTGAGCCATTCGGCGGAAAGACAAGTGCCTACAAAATTCTGTCTCATGCCCTAGCAGACATTCACGAGAAGGTGAGTTTCTCTTGACGATGTGAAACTATGATATATTGATATTATTTGATCACAGGTACTGGCTGTAGCTCGTTGTTTTTTAACCGAGAACTCCGGCTTTCCTCCACCACCAAAACCTGACACGTCCTTAAATGACCATAGCTTATAGGACGTAAAACACAAACAAACCAAACCAAATCACAATAATGAAACTATAATATCTATAGTTTTCTTTACAGTAAAGAAAACATTATCAATATTTTTTTTCTCATTGATTCAACTATGAAGATATATGGTACTGGAAAATTTTGGAATCAACAGTGATGCTATATTACTGGTATACATTTTAAGCTGATATAATCAATATCCATGTAGCTTAAAATGCATATTTTTAGTCACAAAAGATATTTTAATAGTAAACATTTTGTCAGCTATATTTGGTTGGGGGCAAAACAAAAATGAATACAAGTATTTAATTCTGATATTTGTTCATTTTCGTCGTTATGTTTATTTAAGGGTCTGATGGAGGAGAACAAGGTCCAGATTACTGTCCTTAATCCAAAGGCAGTCACTATGGGTCAACTTTATGGTCAGTTTGACCCTGTCTCCCACGAGTGGTCCGACGGAATCCTGGCCGTGTCTTACCGAGCATTTGCCACCTCCACAGTACGTATCAATATTGGGGAGGGGGGGGTTGTTGCACTGGGATCCTTAAAGTGTTTTTATGTAAAAAATTAAGTCCATATTAAATTCTAAAAGACTCGAGTACATGAGCCGTGGACTCATACAAATGAAGTTCATTGATTGTCCTATTGCTACGATTTTCTGTGGTCAAATAATCACAAGGGATTAAAGGAAATACCAAAAACTGGTCATGCAGTGACACAATTATAACTCATTTTAAAGTAAAAAAAAGTTGTGAAGTATTTCCTAATTGTATCATGTAATAAACCACAATTGTCTTAAAATTCTGTTTACAAATGTTTTCTTCCTGTGACTGAAATGTTGACGTTTTGCAGACTCCAGACAGGAAGTGGCTGATCTTTGACGGTCCAGTTGACGCCATCTGGATTGAGAACATGAACACCGTGCTCGATGACAACAAGAAACTGTGTCTGATGAGCGGAGAAATCATACAACTGGCCAACACAACCAATCTCATGTTTGAGCCCATGGATCTCGAAGTGGCCTCCCCTGCTACAGTACGTAAAGAAAAAACGGGGCCAATTTTTTCATTGAAAGGAGTCCAAACTGTTACTCTCTGATTTGACCAATTGATTGATTGATTGATTGATTGATTGATTGATTGATTGATGAGGCTTTACATCCAGAAGGACCATTTATGGTGAAGACTTGCGTCAATAAGAAATACAGAAAAATAAGTTTATTATAAAGCTATTAGTGCCATATTTGTTGTCCAAAAATAACTTGTACTACATTGTATAGACTGTAATGCAGTTTTTGCCATTTATCTTGACGTATATTTAGCTTGTTTTAGCTGTACCACTAATGGTTATACCTCTCTTTGACAGGTGTCGCGCTGTGGTATGATCTACATGGAGCCATCTTCATTGGGATGGCGGCCAATGGTGAAGTCATGGCTCTTTATGATGCCAGCTACACTCACAGAAACCCACAAATCCACCATAAATGACATGTTTGAAAGATTTGTGGATGCCTGCATCCAGCTTGTCAGGAAAGGCGGAGTTGTTGTAAGTCATCAGTAGACAGTTTCAATAATAGGAGGCACGGTAGTCTAGTGGTAGGACGCCGGGCTCGCGACCGAAGGGTTGCGGGTTGGAGTCATGTCACGGCACTGTGTTGTATCTTTGAGCAAGGTAATTTTTCTCTTGTTCCAGTTTACTAGTCTGTGAATAAGTTTGTGGTTGGGCAGTGCTAGAATTGTAGAATGCTAACTGTGAGCGCCGAAATGGCAGCACCAGCTGTAATGCAAGATGTTGAGAAAGATGTTGGCCGGTTGCAAAGGCCCTATAACCACTGATAATAATTTATGAACCACTTTGAGATGACCTACGAACTAGGTTGTGATAAAGCGGTATATTAGAACCTCAAATCATTATTATTATTAATAATGGGAATATCTTGATAAAGTAAAAGAGATTCCTGTTTTAAACAATCAAAGTACTGTAAATATGTAACATCAAGTTTATTTATTTTACAACAATTAATTATTAAATGAGTGTTCCCAATTAAATATTATTTACTCTTTTTGGCCCCAATAGAAGTGTCCAGGGGGGTTTTATGTGGGAGGAAACTGGAGAATCTGAGGGAAATCGATGTGGTTTGGGAGGTGACCCAATACCTTTTCACATTCAAACAGAGACTGCAACCCACTGCACCACCCTACCAACCTAACAGAACAAATTTAAATATGTTTGACAAATTGCTAATTGAAATAAACATTTGGTTGCAGTTGAAGTTTCAAATATTTTTTTCTCGCAGGAACTGTCTCCAACCACTGATATTTCCCTGGTCAATTCTCTCATGAATCTGATGGACTGCCTGATGGACGAATTCCAAGATGAGGCTAAAATCTCACAGATGGAAGAAAGGGAGATAATCACATGGCTTGAGGTATATATCAAACCATTAAATATGAATGAAAAAGAAAAATTACCAATGTGTAGACTACAGCCTTCCCCCAGAGTTATAATACTTCTTCAGTTTTTTTGGTTTTAAGAATTATTGCATTACTAATTGTCCAATCTCTTATGCAGTACATTCAGTTTTGTATGAAATAAAGTCTTGAGAGAAAAATGATATCTGAAGCAAAATATGATGTTGAAAGATTATGTGTTTTTCTGACATTTTTTGGCTGTCAAAACCAGAAATAAAAATGATGAAGTTTGAAAGAGGAGATTATTTTATAAAGTAATTATTTACTTGATGTGTTTTTTCTCGTAACATTTGAGTTGGATATTCAGGTTTTTTGACCGAGTTCAAGTTTTACTATTTGCTTCAGACGTTTTATCTTTCATGTCTCTTACAAACTTTTGAGTAACACAGATTTGATTTTTTTCCCTTACAGAGCATTTTCTTCTTTGCCATTACATGGTCTATTGGTGGAAGCTGTTCCGACGATGGTCGTTCCAAATTTGACAAAATCCTCCGAGAATTGATATCTGTAAGTTGTATTGAAGTTATGGATACTTTCAGAATATGTATAATTGCGCAAGTCACTTATGTATTTATTGATGACAAGATGACAAATGACATTGATAGACATAAATAAAAAATCTTTTGATTTTATATGGATTTCTTTTTTCGTCTAATTTTTACATTAATATACAACACAGTTACAGTATATATACTTCAAACATTTTTTGATGGTTTGCATTAAAATCAGTTTTTATTGAATTTAACTGAATAATTAATTTATTTTCTGTGGGGGATCTTCTTGTGTGTGTTAAAATTGATATTTTCATGCTTGTTAATGTAGGGTGGAATGACGGAGGATACAAGAGTAAAGATAAGTCTGCCAGAGTTGGTAGACCCCCCGATGAAACCCTACCTGAATCCCTTCCCACCAAAGGGTCGAGTGTACGATTACAGGTTCATTAAGGAGGTAAGCTGCTCATATACCCTGATGATTTTCATTTTTTATTTTCAAATTCGTAAAAGAGGTTGCAGTTTTCAGTCTTTTTTGAATTCACAAATAACAATCAACTAAACAATTTGGAAAAATGATTCATTTGTTATTGGCAAATTCGACTTAACAAGCATCTGTTATTACAAATTAAATCTAATACACTGTTTACCACTGAAAACTCCATGGAGCTTCATCAGTTATCACTTTAAAACAGAGGAGTCAAATGTCCACCATGATTGGCTAATAGCCCCAATTTGATCTCATTTACATGAAGTGCTTATTTTAAGATGTGATCAGGGGGTGGGCTTATTAGAGATCACAGATAGTAAGCAGAGAATGTCAAGGATAAATTATTTTGTGAATGCGAGATGATGATCCAATCCAGACTTAGGTGATTCTGAATTTCATGATCCAGACTTTTGATAAGTCAGCAATTTTTTGTCAACTCTCCCATTTTGGAGGGAAACCCTTGGACTTTGGACCCTAAAATTGAATATGTTCAGCAAGTGAATTTAATAAACTATCGATTTATTCCAAGGTCGGATGATTTCCTGCGTAAGAAAGATTCCACACTAATTTAAAGTACTTTAGGCTTTGTACACACACTTTTTAATTAAGTTTTTAATTTCGAGCATGCAGAATCTCCCCTATGGAAATTTCGAAATGTTGACAGGTAGGATTCAGATTTTGGCTACCCGGTATTTAGACTTCCAGAATCTGTTAATCCCAACATCTTACGGTATGTCTGACAAAATAAATCCATGGTATTGATGTTTGTTGTAGGGATCAGGACGATGGTTGCAGTGGGCAGACGAAATAAAAGACTCCCCTCCGATTCCAAAGGAGGCCTCTTTTAATGAGATCATTGTTCCGACTGTGGACACTGTGCGATACACAGCACTCCTGAGCATGCTCCTCACACACAAGAAGCCCACGCTGTTTGTTGGGCCGACCGGTACAGGCAAAAGTGTCTACGTGGGCGTAAGTGTTTCTACAAAGATTTTTTTTCTATGTGAGCATAATTGTTTCTACAAAGATTTTATGTCTATGTGGGCCTAAGTGTTTCTTCAGATTTTTTTGTCTACGTGGGTGTGAGTGTTTGTACAGTTCTTTTTTGTCTATGTAGACATAAATGTTGCTTCAAAGATTTCAGCATTACTGTCATATCTCAGTTTCTTTCTACGTATTTTTTTTTCTTTTTTTTTATCAAACTGCTTGCTTAGTCTTTTTTGTATTTGTGAGTTTGACAAATACAAAAAGACTATAAGCAAGCAGCGTGTAGATTGAACTTAATAATCCATTTTTAATATGTGAGTAATTATAAGAAAGACGTATGTTCCATTATTCATTGCCAGATTTGTAAACATATCTTAATAGGCAGTCGTTGTCACACATCAAAAGCTTGACTGTTTGTTGTGATTTTTTCCAATGTCAACTCGGATTGATCGAACTATTTTAACGGCTATAATTTTGTGGAATTCGAACAGGATTGGCAATATTTATTGAATTTTGTTCAAACTGACCGAAGGTTTACCTTACTCTCTTTACCAAATCTTAGCCTGACAGATTCACATTAATAGCCCACTGTGTTTTGATGTATTATTGATCATGACTTTGACTGTTGTAGGACTTCTTGCTGAACAAACTGGACAAGGAGCTATACAAACCAAACATCTTGAATTTCTCCGCCCAGACAACGGCCAACCAGACACAGAACATGATCATGTCGAAGCTGGACAGGCGTAGGAAGGGTGTGTTCGGTCCACCCCTCGGCAAGACCGCGGTTAGTATATACTAGGTTGTCTTTTCACTTACTTTTTTAGACAGGTATTCAAATTTTAAATATTTCGAAATTCAACTCACAGCTAAATTATTTTCAAGGCATACAAATGTTTAACCACTTTATATGCAATAATAGTTCACATGTCACTGATTATGGAATATTAAATAATTTTTCCAGGAAAATTGTAACCGATTCATCCCCAGCTGTTGCTGATCATAGTTTTATTATCTTTGAAAGTTTGAATTTCATGATATGCTTTTAAAACTTATATATAGTTAAATTTTACAGAGATTTTTTGGTAACTTTTGTAGTTGGTGTTTGTGGACGACCTGAACATGCCGATGCAGGAGACTTTTGGTGCTCAGCCACCCATTGAATTGCTGCGTCAGTGGCAGGACCACTGGAACTGGTACGACTTAAAGGAGATCACAGCCATGAAGCTGATTGACATCCAGCTGGTGGCAGCCATGGGACCACCTGGTGGCGGACGTAATCCTGTTACACCCAGATTCCTCCGTCATCTCAACACAATCACGATCAACGAGTTTGACGATGATACTATGATCACCATCTTTAAAAGGATAATGGAGTGGCATATTTCCTCCAAGTACGTTATGTGGTGTTTGTCTTATTTCAAGGTTAAAATTACAATGATACAGCTGGTAGCAGTAAAATACAGGGATATTTCACATTAAATCTCTGTGACAGTTCTAGAGATATTAATTCTGATCCTTGATCAATTAGACCAAAATAATCATTGATTTGTTAAGATTACACTTATTATTGACCAATCACATTGACTCTAACTGCTGCTCAATCAGATTACACAATTATTGACTAATCGAATCACTCTGATTATTGACCAATAGGCCAGGATTACACTGATTATTGACCAAAAGGATTGCACTGATTACTGACCGATCACATCAGACTGAATATCGACCAATAAGAATGTACTGATTATTGACCAATAGTATTACAAAAATTATTGACCAACAGTATTACAAAAATTATTGACCAATAAGATAACACTGATTACTGACCAATAAGAATGTACTGCATTTGACCAATAAGAATGTCCTAATTATTGACCAATAAAATTACAAAAAATATTGACCAATAGTATTACAAAAAGTATCGACCAATAAGATTACACTGATTACTGACCAAATATATTTGACTGATCATTTACCTATAAGAATATACTGATTATTATTGGCCTTTGCAAGACAAATATTACATGACAAGTTTTCTCACATTTTACCACAGAGGATTCAGTAATGAGTTCAAGCCTTGCGTAGAGCAGTTGGTTCTCGGCACACTGACCGTCTACAAGGAAGCCATGAAGAATCTGCTGCCAACACCAACCAAATCCCATTATCTGTTTAACCTGCGAGATTTCAGCAGAGTCATCCAGGGGGTACTGTTATCGACCCCGGAAACCATGGAGGAACCAGCATCCATGAAAAGACTTTGGGTCCATGAGGTGGGTAATGCAGAACTCTTTATAGGATTCAATATGCAAACAGACCTAACTAGAGGTTTGGATATATTTTTGATCCACTTCTTGGTCCAGATCTAGAGCTCTGCCAAAATGCAGGAATGTTTGGCTCAAAAAAGGAATAATTTCTGTTTTTAAAATTGGAATTATAATTTCAAAAATTGTAATATCGATATGCATAAGATTGAATCAGTGTAACCTGGCTTTAACAGGGAAATGTGGAACCTGAATAAAAACCCCTTTTATATTTGTCCATCTGTATACATTTGTTCGTGAATAGTACCTGTGGAATGTGTAAACCTGTATATATACAAGACTTTTGTGTAATCCAGAAATCTGTATTCTGAACAAAAATATTGGACCTAGTTTTGTTCATGTTAGAGAGGTGTGAACTTGATCATTAATTGTATTACTGTATTACAGGTATTCCGAGTCTACTATGATCGTCTCGTTGACGACGCTGATCGGAATTGGCTCTTTACCTACGTCCGTGAAGTGTGTAAAACAGAACTCAGGGAAGACTTTGATCAATTGTTCATACATCTAGACTTTGATAATGACGGAAAGGTCACAGAAGATGACCTCCGTAGCTTAGTGTATTGTGATTTCGCTGACCCGAAATCTGACTCGAAACATTATGTAGAGGTTCGGGATCTGGAAAATCTACGCGTAACTGTGGAGGGTTATCTGGATGAGTTTAACAACATGAGTAAAAAACCGATGAACCTCGTACTGTTCAGGTAAGGATATCAATTTTATTATCAGGGCCCTGCATCACAGACGCTGGTGCCGTATAGTAATCACAGTGTCCGTCTGTCTGTCTGTCTGTCCACTCTTTTATTTTCTTGAGATTATCTCCGAATCCAAAGTACTAATCGTTTTGAAATTTGACATGGTGATGCTCTGTAATACGTAGATATGTTAATTCTGTTACTGTTTTAGTTGCTTTCTCACCAACATTTGACTTGACTTCGTGTGACCATTCAGTGCTGACATCAATAAATTTAATACATTCTATACTAGATGACGGGTTTGATTAATTGATTAAATCTTTCAATGACCGCAAATGCATTGTATAAATCCTTTTTATTTCAAAAGTGTTTTAAATCAAAACTGTAAAAATTGTAAAATAACTTTAGTTGGAAGCGGAAGCTTGCATTTTATCTTTCTTCCTTGGTAAAAATACTTTACATGTGATTTCAAATAAATTTCTAATAAAATGTGATGTATTTCTCCAGATTTGCTATTGAGCACGTTTCCAGAATTGCTAGAATCATCAAACAGCCCAGAAGCCATGCCCTTCTAGCCGGAGTCGGTGGCTCCGGACGTCAGTCGCTAACAAGACTTGGTGCACACATGGCTGACTTTGATCTCTTCCAGGTCTGTGTTGTCTTTTATCACTTAAGATAATAAATATGTGATTTTGTCCTGAATATAAAAAGTGAGATTAAAGATATAAGTATTTGGGTTCAATGTGAATTTTATAACACAAGATTTAATATGAAAATATACCTGTCTGGTAACATCAGGGGCAATCAACATTTTATTACGCGTAGTCATAAGTGTTGAATATAAAAATTGGTGCGAAGCGTTTGTTTGAATCATTAAGTACTCCTTTTGTAATGTTCTTGCCATTTGGTTAGTTGTAACTGTTGGATTAAAAATAGATATATTGCTTCAAAATTGATTTTTGACAAGTTGAATTCTCCAAGAGTTGTTTGAATTTATGATAGAATTGCAATATTTCTGTCGTCATCATTATTTTGAATATCATTTTTATTTTTTGTATTTCTTGCCTCGTAAAACTTATATCAGTGGGGTTTTTTTTTTAACAGGTTGAACTCTCAAAAAGTTACGGAACTCCAGAGTGGCGTGAAGATTTGAAGAGAATTTTACGTAAATCTACAGAAAGTGATAACCATGGCGTATTCCTTTTCTCCGACACTCAGGTAGAAATCAGATTTTTTTTTTAACATCACAGAGGTCAATTGTTTTTTAGTGTCCGTGAAAACAATCCAAAAATATGTTTTGAAATTTTAAAATTATCAATTTTAATTGAAATTGTTTTTGGATTTATTTGAATATCTAGAATATATAGACCAAATTCAATTGATATAATATTCTTTTAATTATAGACAAAACAACTTTCTTATTAAACACCAAACATAATTTATAGGATTAAAAATAATGATAATAATGATCTTATTTTTTGGCTAAACATATTGAGTTGGAAACTTATCTTACATTTTGTCAAGCATAACAATTGGTTCACGATTTACAACAGATTTGAACGAGTATATCTCTCAATGCTAATTATGTAGTATCAAAATGTGGAACAAAACTCTAAAAACAAAATTACTTAAATTTCTATTTAAAGATCAAACAAGAATCTTTCCTGGAGGATATAAACAACTTACTTAATGCGGGTGAGGTGCCAAACCTTTTCGCTATTGATGAAAAGCAGGAAATTTGCGAAAAAATGCGACAATTGGATCGACAGAGGGACAAAACAAAGCAAACAGATGGTACGCCAGTCTCTCTGTTTAACTTCTTCATCTCCCGAGTAAGAGACCAGCTCCATATTGTGCTGGCCATGAGTCCCATTGGAGACACGTTCCGGAGCCGTCTCAGGAAATTTCCCTCTCTTGTGAACTGTTGCACCATTGACTGGTTCCAGGTAGGTTACCAAGGCAACACTTTTACAGGCTTAAGATACATATTTCATTTTTGTCCGTGTTTGTCTGCTAAGAAGCTACTAAAACCCAATTGCAATTAAAACGATCGGTTTTTGAAGAAAATTTTGCTGATATATTTGAATCATACTATTGTGCTGTTTAAGAAAGAAAGATACATATAATAACTATTGCATACATATGGTATTGAGTCTAATTTTAGCACTATAAAGTCGGCATCAGTTCCGCGCTATTACAAGAAGACAAACACGAGTATATCGCAGCCTCCCAAAATACACACACATACACTACACGCATGCATCTTGCACACAGAGGAGGCCGTCCTTAAATGACCTTAGCTGTTAATAGGACGTTAAACAAAATCAAACAAACAAACAAACTAATTTTATGATATATGAAATATCTACATGGTATGTCATTGTTATCATCATATAATCTATTATCTACATGTATATATATGGTATTTAGGATTGATCCTTGTCCATAGTGAGGAAGGCAGTGGATTCTGTGGGATACCAAAGTTCTTAAAAATTATATTAAATAAATGTTTCTATTTGATGTTTTAGTCAATAACAATAAATTTAGTCAATAACAATAAATGTCCTAAATCTTACCAGAAGACACAACATATGTTATGCCGTGACGAAATAAAATTATCATTTTTGATGCGAGAAATTGTGTCGTGCGTTTTCACCCCCACAGAATTTCCCAATGCTTGTGTTGAGAGTTTTTTTTATTCTGATCAGACAACAAACAAACAAATCAAAAGCACCTGATGTCTTAGCCAGTCTTTATAACACAGTGTTTATTATCCTTTAGTCCTGGCCAGAGGATGTCTTAGCCAGCCTTTGTACTTTGTATAACATAGTGTTTATTATCCTTTAGTCCTGGCCAGAGGATGTCTTAGCCAGTCTTTGTACTTTTTATAACATAGTGTTTATTATCCTGTAGTCCTGGCCAGAGGATGTCTTAGCCAGTCTTTGTACTTTTTATAACATAGTGTTTATTATCCTTTAGTCCTGGCCAGAGGATGTCTTAGCCAGTCTTTGTACTTTTTATAACATAGTGTTTATTATCCTTTAGTCCTGGCCAGAGGATGTCTTAGCCAGTCTTTGTACTTTGTATAACGTAGTGTTTATTATCCTTCAGTCCTGGCCAGAGGATGCCCTGCAGGCCGTAGCCCTTCGATTCCTCGAGGATGTGGAGCTCGGCGAAGAAGAACGTGTCGGCTGCACGACAATCTGTAAACTGTTCCACACATCCACACGAGATCTGTCCTCTCGCTTCTTTTTGGAGTTGGAACGACACAACTATGTGACTCCAACATCTTACCTGGAACTCATTAGCACGTTCAAATCTCTCCTGGATAAAAAGCGACAGTAAGTCATTTCTAAACTTTGAACTCTGTGATAAATAGAAAATGACACATGGGATAATTTGTGAAAATTTCTTCAAGTATATCATGATCCCTGTCTTTGTCATCATCAAAAGGGACTGAATCATCCTGATTTTGTAAGACAGTTGGTAAAATTAAGATTTATATATAAACAGAATTAGACATTCGGGGTCATGAAATTCTTCCAAATATTACAGTGTGTCTGTATAGTCAGACGAAGTTAAAGCAAAGTTTCACTTGATGAATGTTTAAAGAAATACATTTTATAAACAAAGTTTTGAAACAGATTTCAAATAATAATAAAAAAAAATTGAAGAGATTATGAAATTAAAGTGAACTCATTCACCCCTACATATTTAAACTGGACTTGCCTTGCCTTTGATTTGGTAAGTTCAAAAGTGACTTTAGTGGTGAATGGGTTCAAAAAGGTTTAAAAACAACTCAATATTCAAAGTGAAAATATTAAATGTGGTTCAGAGGAGAGGTCCAGAAACAAATGATAACTTTTCCTTATTCAGGGAGGTTCAGAAGCAGAAAAGGCGATACGAGGTTGGTTTGGATAAGCTGCAGTCAGCTGCCTCCGAGGTCGCTGTGATGCAGAAAGATCTAACTGACCTTCAGCCACAGCTGGTCGTCGCAAGTAAGGAAGTTGACGAGATCATGGTGGTCATTGAGAAGGACTCTGTCGAGGTGGCCAAAGTGGAAAAGGTAAGTAAGGCCAAACCAAAAAAAATGTGTGCTTCATATCTTATCCTCTAAATTCTAAGGTAAGTAGAAAAGGACAGATCTTGTGAATTATTTTTTATATATAAGAATCACAGAACACGGATATTAATTTTAATAAAGTTTTACTTTTGAAATTGGGTTCGTGTTATACTTATGTACAAATTTAAATATGATCACTGCTGAAATAAATATTTCTCTTGAAAATAATTTAATTTTTACAATATATACATATATACAATATTAGGCGAAATTGCATCTAGATAAATAGAGAATATCTAACAGTGTCTTCAGTAATACCAAATATATTCCACGAGTGTGGCTAATATTTTGATATCTTTTGAGTGGGCAGCACTAGTGAAAAATATCACTTTTATAAAATTAATAATTTTTAATATTTCACTGGTAAAAATATAATAAAGCATTCAAAATCATTTTGGCATCTATCAAAATTGGACTAAATTAAGATTTCTTCATGATAGTGGGAATGAGTGTAAAAACATGAGGAATATATTAGAGTAATCTGAATATTGTTTTTAAGATTTTTTTGCCATATTTTTTTTCCACCCAGATGGTACCTGTTCATTATTCATGAATGCACACAATAGGCCAATATTTAGGGTAATTGTTAGGTATTGGAAACTGGATAATTCAAATATTATAATTATTTCTGAAAATCTTTTTGAATGCATTTTTCATATCATATTATAAAACAGGGATATTTCCATTCCTCCCCATATGTAATACATGTGTTGTATAAGCATGAGGCATGCTACTCTTTGGGGAATCTGGATCTGAATTAATGAGGCTCTGCTATACACAGGTGTCAGATAAAAACGTTATGCTGGCTTATACAGGTAGTGAAAGCTGACGAGGCTGTGGCCAATGAACAAGCTAAAGCCGCCAAGGCAATCAAGGATGAGTGTGACGCGGACCTGGCCGAGGCTATTCCCGCCATGAACGCTGCCCTCGCTGCCTTGAACACACTCACAGCTCAGGACATCACAGTTGTGAAAACAATGAAGAGTCCCCCATACGGCATCAAACTGGTGCTGGAGGCAGTGTGTGTGATCAAAGGCATTAAGCCAGAGCGTATACCCGACCCAAGTGGCTCAGGGAAAAAGATTGAGGACTACTGGGGGCCCTCGAAGAAAATGTTGGGCGACATGAAATTCTTAGAGAGTCTTAGAGAGTTTGACAAGGTAACTGTCTGCTGCTTAATTCATTCACCCCTGAAGACACATTTGAACTCCCTCTATTCAAAGGTTGGAATAGTTCATTATGAAATTTCAGGGGTGAATGAGTTAAAGTGACAGATGTAATTTTCATACTTTTATTTATTGATTTCCCCATTTTTCTTTACATAGATTAATTACAGATATGTTGTACTTTCTTTGAAGGGACAGATTTATATAAGTGATGTTCATCATATTCTGATTTCAGTAGTCAAAATTTCTAGTATTTTTATGTCAGAATTTTCCATTTTTTTTTTTTTCATATTTGGCTTTTATGTCACATAATTTCAGTAAATGTCTCTATAATTACTTATTCTTACAAGATAATGGTTATTAATACTTAAACAAAAAGATTGCATTTAATTCTTTTATTGATTTTGAACCTTTTCAATGACCACTGTTCTGATATTTTTACAGGACAATATACCACAAGCTTACATGAAACAGCTGCGTGCTAAGTACATGAATAATCCCGAGTTTGACCCCGACAAGGTCAGGAACGCCTCCACTGCCTGTGAAGGTCTGTGTAGATGGTGTCGCGCCATGGACGTGTACGACAGGTAAGAGTTCCTAAGGGGGAGCGATCTCCGGTCAGGTAGAATGCTTGTGTTGAGTTTTACATCTTTTACTACGTATAAGTTCATAAGTCGGTAGTGTCACAAGACAATTTCTCAGTGCCATTGCATTGAAATCTGTTAATTTGGACATGGTAGCTTGTTTGCCTGTCTTAGGCCGCATTCGTTTATCGAGATCCGTTTGAACTGTTTGGACCAATGTTGATCGTTTATGAAATAAGGTTGGACAAAGTAATCTGGTGCTGCTTTCCGGCGAGTCGTGACAAAGCCTCGCAAGGCCTGCATAACCATTTGCAGGTCTGCCAGGATTTATACCCGAAAATGATACATTTAAAAACAGACAAACCGGTTGAACCAGATACGCGAAAGTGGCCTTAGTCACAGATTGCCCTTTCAAAGTGATCTAGATAAATTGGCCTCAGAATCGAAAACAAGTTGAGAGCACCTAAAGCTGTCTTTGAAGTAAAGTCTCAATGTTAGGTGTATGGGAGGTTAAAGTTTGAGCTCAGCATGAGGCTGCTTCAAACTGTTGACAGCCTGGCATGTCTAGCGGAGGATTGAAGGGCAGAAGCCTAGCATGTCTAGCAGAGGATTGAAGGGCAGAAGCCTAGCATGTCTAGCTCAGGATTGAAGGGTAGAAGCTAGTGATTGGGTAAGGACTCGGGAAAAGGTCAGGAACTGATTGGGTAGGGACTCAGGAATGGTTAGGGGGCTCAGGATAGTGTAGTGTTGATTGGCAGTTTAACATCTAGCTTCCTTTTTGCTCCTAGCGGACTGTAAGGTCAGCAAGAAAGTCCATGAGTTGGTTATAGAAATGTTCAGTTATGCAAATTCACAATACAATTTTTAACTCAGGATCCCCTGAAATTTCATAATGAACTATTCCAACCTTTGAGTTGAAGGAGTTCAAATGTGTCTTCAGGGGAGAATGAGTTAAATTGTACAGGTTTGATAACACAGATATAACAGTTACTTGATCTTTCTCCTTACAGAGTGGCCAAAGTTGTCGCTCCAAAGAAGATTAAGTTGAAAGGAGCTGAAAGTGAGCTTGCGACTGCCATGGCCTCCCTGGAGAAGAAGCGAAGCTCGCTGCGTGAGGTCCAGGACAAACTTGCTAAGTTGCAATCTACTCTTGAAAACAACAAGAAAAAGAAGGTTGACCTGGAGAACCAAGTAGACATGTGTCAAAAGAAATTGGAACGAGCTGAGCAGCTGATCAGTGGACTTGGTGGAGAGAAGGATCGGTGAGTCTGAAGAATTTGTTAATCTTCTACCTGATGTAGCAATGAAGACCATACTGGATTTCATTGAAATAGTATCAATGTTTAAAGTCAATGTGTAAAATAAGCTGGTAGAATGTTTATATTAAAGTTCAAACCACTATGAAATGTTTGGCCATTTTACAGGTAAAATCTTTGCTGCTTGGCTTTGTTGAAACACTGTATTTTCATACAATTCATTCCTATAAAATATTGCAAAAAGGTAATTTAAGTAAAATCCAGGAAGTTGTGATTACTTTTTTATTTTCAAATGTATTTATTTTAAATCTGTATTAGTGCCTGCTAGGAAAATGTCCCTCTGAATATTTTGGTGTGTGCTACCTTTATTTTGAATCTGTATTATCTCCCTTTGTATAGATGGGGCCAGGCTGCCAGACGTCTTGGTATCCAGTACACGAACCTGACAGGGGATATCTTGGTCTCTTCTGGTATTGTTGCTTATCTCGGAACTTTTACATCAGCTTTCAGACAGGTGAGAATGTTGTGTTTTAATGGTTCCCAAATTATCGTGAAATCCTATAGCTTTGCTTTTGATATACGGTACATATTTTCTCTACACCATTATATTATCTCATTCACCCCTGAAGATACATTTGAACTCTTCCAATTCAAAGGATAGAATAAGTCATTATGAAACCTCAGGGGTGAATGAGTTAAAGCACTTAAAACTTTGATTTATCTTTTGCCACCTCACTTACTGTTAAAATATTCCAAGGTAACCCATTTTTCTTTTTCTTAACAATTTTTATTTATTTATAAGTCTTCAAAATATCAGTATAACACGATAATAGCAACATTCACTCTATGTCAAATTTCTTGGACTTAGCCCTTCATTTCCCATTTGCCCAAAACAATTTTTCAGTAAGGGACGTAGCACTCTAAAGTGAGCCCTTTATTTCCCATTTGCCCAAAACAATTTTTGAGTAAGGTAGCACTCTAAAGTGGGCAGCAAATCTGCAGTCAACGTACTCCCTCCAACACACGCATACATTGCACACATGGTGGAAGATCCTTAACTGACCTCAGCTGTTAATAGGATGCTAATAACTCATTCACCCCTGAAATTTCATAATGAACTATTCCAACTTTTGAATTGGAAGAGTTCAAATGTGTCTTCAGGGGTTTATAATGAGTTAACCCAATAATCCAAACCTAAATAATATTTTGCAACAGAAAAAAAGAAAGCTTAAGAAACAAAGAACATTGAACATTAAACTTAAACAAATATAGAGATAAGCTGTTGACCAGCAGTGGTTTCTTTCCCATTTTACACATCAATGAAAAGTTCTGGTTTGCCAACTGATTTGTAACACTATATTATATTTGTCGACAGGACCAGACACAAAGCTGGATCGAGTCCATCAGGGGCAATGGTATCCCCTGTTCCAATGATTTCTCTCTGATAAACACTCTGGGAGAACCGGTCAAGATTCGAGCTTGGAACATTGCTGGTCTCCCGACAGACAACTTCTCAATTGAAAATGGAATCATGTTGTCGTAAGTAAAAATGTCATGCCCGCTTGGAGGAGAGGCCCAGCATGTAGTGTTTACCCACCTCTATCCCATCCCGTCCTAATTCATTCTCATGATTCTCTAGCAACTTCATTTCTTCAGAGATTTTCATCAAAGTTTGTACTTAAGGTCAAGTAAGAGAATATATCAGATGAGTCCATATTTCAGTGTCCCAGGGTCAACATCAATGTCACTGTTTCTATTTATAGATCAAACACAGGGCTAAGGGGGAATTGATATTTTACAGTTGTTTTCTAGTTTTGTTTTGTTTTCAGGTGTATTGCAAGACAGATATAATTTTTCCCTGTGAAGTTTTCACTTTTGCGTATCTAAAGATATATTCGCCTTGCATTGAATTTCTAATTCAAGACCGAAAAAAGTTATGATAAATTTCATGTAGTACAGTCAATTTTTTCATGAAAAGCATATGATTTATTAGGTCATTAATTCTCTTTTAAATAGAAATACTCCACCTTACTATTTTTTATGATTAATTCACCGTATTTATCCTACAAAAGCCTAGGAGGCCAGTACAGAAGGTCAAACACAAAGTAGCAGTGTGGTCTTACTACACAGAAATGAAATTTAAGCATTTGTTTGCATTTGTACTAAACTACAAGAGGTATGGATGGGCTCATATCTAGATATGGGCTTGTTGTCAGATAAATTCTATAACACATCTAGCCCTAGACTGTTGTTTAACTCATTCACCCCTGAAATTTCATTATGGCTTATTCCAACCTTTGAATTGGAAGACTTCAAATGTGTCTTCAGTGGTGAATGAGTTAAATAATTTAAGAATTATCTTTTTTCATCAGAAATGCCCGCCGTTGGCCGTTGATGATTGATCCCCAAGGCCAGGCAAACAAATGGATCAAAAACATGGAAAAAGCCAATAATCTTCATTGCATCAAACTCAGCGATGGCGACTTTGTCCGTACTTTGGAAAATTGTATCCAGTTCGGAACTCCGGTAATATTAGCTTTGTTTCGTTAAAATTGATTATGTTCTAAATATCTGAAAAGATTTGTTTTACTGCCAATTCAAATCAAGTTGCAGTTGTCTTCGATTGCTGACTCGAAATAGTGAAAATGAAGTATTTATTAGCCAACTCTCATAATTTAAGTTCAGATAAAATTATGGAGACTAAAAAGCATTTTCCTTAATAAAATGTGTGTGAGTGCATTTTATTACATAGCAGATGGATATTTGTAGTCTTATTAGGTAAGAATATAGGTCTACTGTCAGTTGTAAATTGAGGTGTGAATGAAAAAATAAAAAATAATTGAAAAGAATGATGTTTGAGTTTCACTGTTTTTTATGTAAGAAATCTAACAAAGAACTACAAATAAATTGAATGTATTTAAGGAGAAATAAAATGAAAAAGGAAAATTACAAACATTGGGGTTGTTGAATACAGGTTCTTCTGGAGAATGTACAGGAAGAGTTGGACCCACTGCTGGAACCGCTGCTGTTAAAGCAGACGTTCAAACAAGGAGGCAGCATCTGTATCCGGCTGGGAGACAGTACCATTGAGTACTCACAGGACTTCAAGTTCTACATTACTACCAAGTTGCGAAATCCCCACTACCTCCCTGAGACCTCCGTCAAGGTGCGTTATTGGGCTATAAATCTTAAAGAGTTGTTAAAGTTGAAGTCTGTGAAAATGGCAAGCTGTCTATGTCTTGAATACTCTTCAAAATATAATTATTTTCTATCTCTGTCATGGTATAATTACTCAACCATAATTACGATAGTGTGAAAGCAACAATACATTGTTTTTTACAATATATGTCTATAACTACGTAGTTTACAGGCCTCAGTTTAAATCGTATTTTAGGAGCAAACTTTTCAATCTTAGTAGCCATGACCTCCAAAAATCTAAGTAAATTGACATATGATTATTTCTTTAAAAAAATATTCTTAGTGTCTTAATATTGATATTTCCAGATTATTCATCCAAAAATTACTATTATTTGGAAAGATTTAAGTCAAGGCCTTGAAAGTGACATTTGATCAAAGTTAGAATATCAAAGTCAGATATAGTATATTTTATCTTGCCACCAGGTGACGCTGTTGAACTTCATGATCACGCCTGAAGGGCTTGAGGATCAGTTGCTAGGCATTGTGGTTGCTAAGGAGCGTCCAGAACTTGAAGAGGAAAAGAATGCCCTGATCATACAGGGCGCTACCAACAAACGCCAACTGAAGGAGATTGAGGACAAGATCCTTGAAGTACTATCTTCTTCTGAAGGCAATATTCTAGAGGACGAAACAGCCATTAAGATCATGTCCTCTTCCAAAACCTTGTCAGATGAGATTTCAGAAAAACAGGTGAGTTGGAACGATTATGAATAATTTTCATACACTCTTGTTTTTTGCCAAGATTAAATGTTTACTTTTGATACGCCCCTTGAAAATTTTAAAGGGACATAAAATAGTACGGGGACTGTCTTTTCAAATTACGTTTTCCTTAAAACAATTTGATTAATTATGATCTGATCTTCATGTAACATGGTACAATGAACAATGGCTAAGTCAATGTTCAAAGTTGAGCTAAACCATGCATAATTACATTAGCATACTGCACTCTGATTGGTCAACAGTAGTAAATAAATCAATTATTGTGAATATGACTAGGTTCTGACAAAACTTGGTCAAGATATATACTAAGCAAAGACAAAGGATATAAGGTTTAATTATGTAACACACATGATTTTTTTATTTTTGATGGTTTGGGATATAGGCAAAGGGAGGCAATCCGTATAAGATTGAAAAATAAATATGAAATGATGTAAATTAATGTTTGATCCATTTACCACATTCAATGATTTAACTTTATTGATATTGTATAAATGTAGTTTGTACATTTCAATATTTTTATGAATTTTGTGATAAGACTGTATCAGAATCTCAAAGGTTTTAAGTATATTTCTTGCTAAGGGCTGTTGTACAGTAAGTCTAAAGTAAGTGCTAATTGGCATGTCATAGGTATTGTTCCTCCCTTGTGGTACTTTGTTTAAGTTCTTAAATAAAAATAAAAAGATATCGTTGTAATGTTAAACTCAAACAGAAATTTGAATATTTTTAATGCATCAACACTAAAAATACACTTTTTTATTCTTTTTAGGCGATTGCTGAGGAAACAGAGAAGAAAATTGACAAAGCTCGTCTGGGCTACAAACCAATTGCCATTCATTCCACCATCTTGTTTTTCTCGATTGCCGATCTGGCCAACATTGAACCTATGTACCAGTATTCTCTCACCTGGTTCATCATGCTCTTCGGAATGTCGATCGAGAATGCAGAAAAGTCGGATGATCTCGAGCTACGTTTGAAAAACCTGCACAACCATTTCACGTATTCTTTGTACTGCAACATCTGTAGGTCCCTGTTTGAGAAAGACAAGGTGAGACGTCTTATAAGAGTTATTTCCCCTATTGATTATCTCCCTTTTCCCATGATTCAAAATAAATACAGGTAGAGATTTAAGTAGAATGGAGTTTTTCTAAAAACAAATTGTGTATACATTATAACAGAGGAGATAGAAATACAGAACAAAAAACATGACATTCACAAAAGAAACTGGAGGTGCAATCAATGCATTTATACCAAATATATACATACAAAGATTGTAGAGATAAGGCAAAGAATATAAAACAATAGATATACATACAGCTATTGGATCACGAGTTCATCCCTAGTAAGCTATATTATTTTTTTATTTTATTTTTTAGTTGTAAATCCTGCTTAACTGGAATGCACCTACAGTAAATCATTTAATTATTGATACACCCTGCATAGTAGTGCTAAAAGTAAAAACTCGGGTAGATTCAGCCTGAGGGGCCAGACAAATGTGAAAGTTACAGTTAAAAGATGTATATATGTATAGAATGAATCAAATTAAAGAAGTTAATAAAACATTGTTTCTTTCAGCTGTTGTTTTCCTTCTTGTTGGCCGTCAACATTCTAAAACACGACAAATTGGTAAATGAAGAAGAGTGGCGATTCCTGTTGACCGGAGGAATAGGTCTGGACAACCCACACAGCAACCCCACCACCTGGTTACCACCCAAATCCTGGGATGAGTTCTGCCGTCTGGATGACCTTGAACACTTTAAGGGCATTCGTCAAAAGTTTATTCCACAGAAAGACCAATGGAGAGAGATGTACGATTCACTGGTAAGTTGTACGCACCCTCACAACGGTATTTGCCAAAATTATGTATTTTCAACTTTCTTGAAATACTTTAAGTCTTATATTTATGCCCCATCATAAAATGGGGGAGGGGGCATATAGTGCTGTTCATGTTGATCCTGTCCTGTCCCATCCCGTCCCGTCTTGTCCCATTGCGATTCAATGTAAACACTAGCAACTTCATTCTTTGATGGATTTTCATTAAACTTTATACAAATGTCAAAAATATGCAATTACATCAGATGAGTTTGTGTTTTTGGATTCCAAGGTCAAGGCCAGGGTCACAATTGCTATTTATAGAAAATCATCAACCATTTCAGTGTCATCAGTTAACTAACTTTATTTACTTATGGATTTTGATCAAGACATCTATTTGTGTTAGGGTTTAAAGGTCAAGGCCAAATTTCACATGGGTGCAGGAGTGCCCTACAGTTTTCTAGTTTATTACATTATTCAGCTTAATCATTCAGTAAAAAAAAACCTGTCACATCAAATATCAATCTGTAAAATGTGTGATAACAACTGCTGTGAGCTGTGATATGTCATAGGTAACGGTAAAATGACATCATTAAGTTGTCTGTTCATCTTAGTATCATTAGTAATTTGTCATTGTGTATTGTTTCCCATAGGTAAACCATGCAATAAATAAAATATCTCAATTTGCATCATTTCATTGTATAAAACTTGCTGAAGCATGCTTCATCAAAAAAATAAAATAAAAAAAAGTCATTTGATATCTTGTATAGTCAAGCATATGTATATAGACTTGTATTGCCCTATACATTGTTCTATTTGTTGTGAATATTTCTCTCGTTTTTTTTTAATATGATCCTGTGGTATTCTGTATATATATATTTTACAATGGAAAATTTCAATGAAATGTTATTTCAAATGCTCAGATTTTTATTATGTGTTATGTAAACTTTGTGTTTTTAGGAGCCCCAAAACGCCAAAATGGCGGGAGAATGGAATGATAAACTTCAGATGTTCCAGAAGATGTTGGTCATCCGATGTCTACGTCCAGATAAGGTAAGGTCATGGAGGTCAGATTGAATTGTTTTGAACACTAATCTAGGATTCGAAATCATAGTTTTAGAGCAGACAAGTTTCAGATGAAATTGAAAAGACTTTAAATTACATGAATTCTGTTGAATATTGTAAGAGACTGGTGCAATTCGGCATGACTCTACCAGTCTCCCCCAGGAACAGGTTCACTATCGGGAAGAATCAGGTTTAAATTTGCAGTTCTTTCTTCCTAACTCATTTTTGTGTTGCCTGCAACGTGAGGCAACATGAAGATATTACTTTGTCGGCGGTGTCGGTTGTCCAACAAGGTTTCAGTGTGATAACTTGAGTTCCCTTGGGTTGATTGAACCCAAACTTGTCACACTTGTGTTGATTGAATTCAAACTTGTCACACATATTGCATACCAATATAGCTAGGAGAAGTTGACATTTCAGAAGTTTACATACGTTTTTGGTGGAGTTATGCCTCCTTTATTGCCAAATAAGGGCATTGTATATTAAATGCAAGAACCTTTTTTATTTTTTAATCAATTCCTTCCAAATTTTGTACGGTACTAGAAGCAATAAATAAAATTCAATATATATTAGGGGTTTTTCTGTCGAGTTTCAACTTTCCACTTTTTTGGCATATCACACACACTTGACATAGCATTACTGTTCATCGTTTTTGCCGTTAATTTGTGCTTGTTTACGCGATAACACTTCTCTCACTTAAGTGGTATTGACTTATAGCAGAGTGTCTGGTACCAAAAGTTTATTACAATGACCTATATTTTAACCTCCGACCCCAATCATTAAACTTTTAGTCTGGGGCATATTTCTACACTATTCTCCTTAAATCACCAAAAGTGGGTCACAGTGACCTCTTTTTTTTTTACCTCTACCCAATTGAAACTGTCCTGGGCATATCTCTTACCCTTTTTAACCTGGAGTTACCAAATTTGGAATGTAAATATATTTTGTTATTATTTTCATATGTGGCATACAAAAAAACAACAACATGTTGTTCACTAATTTTGATATTGGCCAATGAGGCTATGAATAATATTTTGCTCTGCAGTATTTGGTCTTGTTGTATTGAAAGTGAATGCTGATGAATATAATTTTTATTGGTTTCCCTGTATCTTTGTGTCTAATTCACATGTCTGATGGGGTTTTTTCTCATGGAGAATTAAAGAAGCAGTCAAAATCCAAAATATTTTATATACTACTTGACAGTTATTTTTACTTTATTAACAGGTTGTCCCAGCCGTTCAAGACTTTGTGGCTGAGAAAATTGGGAAGAAATTTATTGAACCTCCACCTTTTGACCTTCCTAAAGCTTTTGCAGACAGTACATGTTCAGCACCTCTGATTTTCATTCTGTCTCCTGGTGCAGATCCTATGTCCTCCCTCCTCAAGTTTGCTGACGATCAGGTTTGTACACTAAACATATATTTCAATTGTACAGTAATAGTATTTAAGGCTTTATGCTGCCTTATTGTTGCATCTAATTCTAAAAGAGTTCCAGTACAGTCCAAGAAACCACTGAAATGTTGTTTACAGGTGATGATTTTGGTAAGCTAATTGATGACATATTTCGATTAATGAGAAATAATCAGTTAATAATAAGTAAAAGGGAGATAATCTACACAATGGTTTGTGTAGTAGCTTACATCCTTAAGGAAAACAGTTACTCATTTAGGTTTAAAAATGTGGACAACAGAAAAAAGGAAAAAAAAATGACAGGTGATTATGTGTTTTTAACATAAGGTTATAACCTTTTCACAGTGGTAAATGGTCCCTTAAGTGTCTATGTATTTCACCATTTACAAGTGAACACTTCCTGATTGAAAGGTTTAATTTTCAACAGTTTGTTTTCATCACTACCAGTAACTTGCATGCAAACTTTGATAACACAATCATTTTTGCATTCCTTTTTGAAGAAGATTTATATGATGAAATATAGGATATTGCAGTTTCCCAGGTATTATGGTTTTATTTTGTAAGACAATTTTGATTCTGTTTGATGTGTTCTGTTAAAACTTTTAAGCTCTATAAGTATGTGTTGATTTGCTGGCATGATGAATTTTATGCTAATTTTCTAAATTTCAGGATTTTTTTTTTCGTTGCTTATAATGAATACCTTGGTAACGATGTGTTCTTTCAGGGATTTGGTGGGGCCAAATTTGACTCCCTGTCTCTAGGACAAGGTCAGGGGCCAATTGCCATCAAGATGATTCAGAAAGGAATTAAGGAAGGAACTTGGGTGATGCTGCAGAACTGTCATTTGGCACCGTCTTGGATGCCTACCTTGGAGAAAGTTTGTGAAGTAAGACATTGGAAAAACAAATTTAGGATTAGAATCAGGTCAAAAGTAGCCTATTATGTCGGACCTTTTCCATGTAACTATTAATGTGGTTTTTAGAAATACAAGCTGGAAAATTATTTTATAATAGAAAATATTGAATGAAAAAGATATATTTGTTTGTAGAAGTTTTTGGAATATTTTACTAGAAGTTTTAAATCTTACTAATGGCTCCTTATTAAACAATATCCTTACATGTGTGAAACCCTGAAATATGTCTAGAAAAAATAAAATGCATCTGAAATTTTGTTTCGTTAATCAGAGGATTGAAAGAGAAGAGAAGTTCTCGGACTAATTATGAAAAAGAAAATATTGGTGATATTGAAATTTTCCTTAATATTAAATGCTAGGATTAACATGCCCTCTCCTAATGTTGTTTTTGATCTTCTATGCAAACAAATGATACACATGTGTACTCTGTACTACATAACAATAAAGGACAAATTACATTTGAAATTTGAACTTTTACAGGAGCTAAACCCGGAACAAACACATCCCGATTTCCGTATGTGGCTGACAAGTTACCCAGCATCATTCTTCCCTGTGTCCATACTGCAAAATGGAGTGAAAATGACCAATGAGCCCCCCAAAGGACTGAGGTTCAACGTTCTTCGGTCATATTTGACAAATCCTATTTCTGACCCGGAGTTTTTCTCTTCTGTCAAGAATCAGGTAGGTTATGGTCAAATATTGAAACTAAAACTATGGAGGGTGTCTTAATTAACTCACACACCCCTGAAATTTCCTAATGAACTATACCAACCTATGAATTGGAAGAGTTCAAATGTGTCTTTGGGGGTGAATGAGTTAATATGAGAAGTAACCATGGTTATGAATCTATGTATTATAGTATCGTTAATATTTAAGGCTTGACCTGCATTTTGGCGGCGTATACAGTAGTATGAACCATGTTGACAACGAACATATTCTATGGTGCGTGTTAGCGCTACATAAATAATATGTGCATTGCCAAATTTTTTCATACTGCTGTATATGCCGTCAAAATGAAGGTCAGTCCTTATATTTACATCATAAATAATCTTCAGGTGCTATACAAAGCAAAAAAACCATTCTAAGCGGGTTGCTACGTTGGTAACTACGGTAGCAGTGGTTGCTAGGATAATATAGTTCCAGTGAATCTACATTGATGTATTGGTAAATTAAGAAAAATAAGCAGTGAACAACACTATTTTTCTTCTTTTCATCTTTGAATCAGATATCAATCTGCCGAGCCTTTTTTTTCATTGCGTATACACTAATTTATACACAGTCGTATTTATACGCAGTCAGAGTTTACTAAGTTGAAGAAGGGAGAGATGTACATATTAGGTAATAAGCCCATGCCTGTTAATAAGCCGATGCCTGGTAATACAGCCCATCCATATATAATGCAATTCAGCAGAAATGCCAACAGGTCATTTTCCTTGTCCTGTAATAAGCCCACCCCTACCTTGAGACAAAGATTGTTTTTTCGCCCTCAGAGCTTTTTGCGAGATATATAAATGAGTTAACTATGGTTTATGCAACATTTCCGTAGTTGATTAGAAAAGGCACAATGGAAACCTAGTGACGTGTGTCGGTACCATTTCAATTTAATATTTTTTTATTCCCGAAAATCTTTTTTTTTTAAATGATGTTTATCTAATAGTATGACGTAATGTTTTACAGTATGCTTGGAAGAAGCTTTTGTTCGGTCTGTGTTTCTTCCATGGAATCGTGCAAGAGAGGAGGAAATTTGGACCGCTAGGCTGGAACAACCCTTACGAGTTTAACGAGACCGACTTACGTATCAGCGTCCAACAGTTGGCCATGTATTTGAATGAGTACAAGGTAGTTTGCACCGATCTGTTTACGTATAAAACCTATAAGTGCTAACATCATTTGTCTGTTTAAAAACAAAACCTTCAGTGATATATATGCTGAATTTTATACTGCTTTAAGCATTCTCAAGTATTTTTAAAACTGCTTGAACCTGAAGTTTTTGCTGAGAAGCATTTATTACCAAAGTTAAATTTCAAATGATTCAGAATAAAAATTGCATCCAAATTATTTTTATTCTGAAACTGTAAAAGGAAACAACAAGTGTCAACATTTGTTCAGGTCCCTTTTTTGTTTTTTTTGTTTTGTAATTTATCGGTTTAACTGATAAATTATTTTCTTCATGCAATGATTTTTCAATTTCATTGGATTCATGTCAGTTTCAGATAACAGTCTTGTTGATAATTCTATTTAAGATTGTTTTTATGTCAGCACAGAACTTGAAGGAAGGTATAAAGTGATAAATTTCTAGAAGCATTGTTTTTATGCTCAATGGTATGCCCCAATAAAGATAAACATGAAAGTCTTTTCCTAGTCTTTATACAATTTGGATGAACTAGTATTTGAAAGATTAGCTGTATGAACCCCCATTTAATGATAACATGCTTGGTGCAAATATCTGTTACATAGCTTATTTGATCATACTGATATTTTTTTTATCTTTCCTGTTTAAAGGATCTTTTGATAGACTGGTGATAAAATGAATCTTCCCGTTCATATTTAAATTCGAAATTTGTTTCGGAAATGTTAACTAATTTTTCCACAAAGATCCTTTTCAAGTTTTAATTATTTTTTTCTCCCTTTAATGTAAATTGTCCTGATATTCTGATTAGCCAAACCCTTCAATGTTTGCTCACAGGATATCCAATATGAAGCCATCCGTTACCTGACTGGAGAATGTAACTACGGAGGGCGTGTCACTGATGAATGGGATCGCCGTACTCTTCACAGCATCCTCGACAAATTCTACAGCACCAGTGTCATTGAGGACAAAAATTACAAATTTGATGAGACTGGACATTATTTCTCTCCCAATGACCTTGATGTAAGTACCGGTACTTCAAAAGCCACCCAAATAAAAATACAAAACCACAGCAGCCAAAACAATGCATGAATTACTTTTATTGATTTCCTTTTAAGAGTGTATCTTACCTTATACTTTATACCTGTGATTTGTGTTAAGGGTGTATCTTACCGTATACTTTATACCTGTGGTTTGTGTTAAGGGTGTATCTTACCTTATACTTTATACCTGTGATTTGTGTTAAGAGTGTATCTTACCGTATACTTTATACCTGTGATTTGTGTTAAGAGTGTATCTTACCTTATCCTTTATACCTGTGACTTGTGTTAAGGGTGTATCTTACCCTATACTTTATACCTGTGATTTGTGTTAAGAGTGTATCTTACCGTATACTTTATACCTGTGATTTGTGTTAAGAGTGTATCTTACCTTATCCTTTATACCTGTGATTTGTGTTAGAGTTACCTCCCTTTTGTGGGGATCTCTTTTTGAAAGAAACAAATCACAAAAGGGGGTCTAAGAAGCGATAAAGTTAGCAATATTCTGAAATTGTGAGTGAAAAATTGCCCATGCTTTAACAAAAGAACAGTATACAAGATTTGTGTCTGTTTGGAAATCTATGCAAAACTTGAAACTTCTGCACCGTTGTTGTTGCAGTATGAGGGTACCCTCCAGTTCATCCGAGACCTACCATTGAACTCCAAGCCTGGAATCTTTGGTATGAACGACAATGCTGACATCACCAAGGACCAAGGAGAGACACGTCTCCTTTTCGCCAACATCCTCCTAACACAGGTAGGTGCTGCCTCATTGTTTGCCCAGCAGTATTATTATTCAATCCTGCCCAAAATAAGACACATTTCCTTTTGCAGCTTTAACCCCTTCACCACTGTAAACCTTAATGGACTTATCCAGATCAATGCATAGTAGAGTTTATTAAAGTTGAATAGGGGTGAAAGGCTTAATCCAACGTTATTTTAAGTAATACTTTTTTAAGACACCCTTTTTTTAGCCCAATTTATCACTATTCTAGTTGAACTAATCTCCACCCTCTTTGATGCAATTCCAGGTTTATGTTCATGTTTTGATTGCTGTCGATAATCCAGAGTTTGTTTGATTTTTAAAAATATATAACATGACCAGTTTGTTCAAAGTGCCAAAAAAAATATTTAACCAAATTTAAAGCTATTTTTGAACATGCTTTAAAACAAAAATGATATTAACTTACAAATTAAAATAGGTTGATGAAAAATATTATTTAAATGCCCAAAATCAGTGTTTGTATGACTCCTAAGACTGGTGCTACATCCCAAGTTACAATTGTTTAAATCATAATTGACTTTAAGCAAACTGGAAGTATCGGTAGTGATGTTTTGGTGATTGAATCATTAACATTTTACAATTTATTAGAGAAATTCTGTATTATTTTTTAAACTTTACCAGGATCATCCTGCAATAAGCCTAGGGGCCCAAAACAATTACCCCAGCGTCAAATTATGGGAGTGGGCTCGTTATGGAATGGTTAAATAATATTTGTTGATATTCCTTCTGAACTACAGTATAGATGGGCTTATTACCAGGCATGGGCTTATTGCTGGATAAGTATGTAATTTTCACATCAATGAAATTGTTCAGTTTTCTTGTAGAGTTCATTTACTTAAATGTGACTTCTTTGTCAGAAGAGTATAATTACTGAATTAGTTACTGGTTATTTAAAAAATTTGAAATCACTTAATGAGTTGTTGACTCAAATTGTCAAAATTGAAAATCATTTTTTCTCATTTATTTTACTTCATGTGTCTTTTATCAAGTTTACAGAAAACTAAAAAATGAATAATTTTATCTCAGAAACATTTGTGGGAAAATATTATACCGACTGTACATAAGATTTAAGGAAAAGGTTAAATAATTTGGCTTACATTTGTTGAACATATAATTCTACCATGTCGACAATGTAACATAGTTTTTCATTGGTCGACAACCGTAGAATAAGTATGTAGTATGAATTCGTCTTTGAAACACAGCATGCATTACCCTGTGGCAGTCAGCTAGCTACTTCAAGTGCAGAGGAAAAGCCAAATTTAAATTTTGGGTTAACTACGTCGTTTCATTTTATAAGTAGCACAGAAATGCAGTTTGTGACATTTTACCTTATAGAATAGATCAAGGCATGTTTGTACAATTGTTGTTGAATAATAACTTGGGATTTGAAAATGTTACCAAATTTGATTTAGGCAGAGCCCTATCTGCTTTCATAAAGTTAAAATATTCTCAACATTTCTTAATAAAACTGCAGAAAAAATTGTACAGACACAAAAGGAAAAGTAAGTGTGTAAATATATTTGTTAAGGTGGTAATTTAGCATTAAACAATTATTCATGATTACTGTAAAAAGACTAATTGGAAAATATTTGCTTCTATTGAAAACATGTTTCTATCCAAATAGCAAAGAAATGGTCTCTTAAACCTAAAATGCTATCATGAATAATACATATTGCAGAATTATTTCTTTGGCCCATGGAGGTTGATATACAGATTTTGTCTTACTGTATATGTGTTGCTCTAATCCACCTGTGTGTAAAGATGAGCATTGCAACTATATAGGAACCTGGTGAGCTGCAGGATAAAATATTGAATATTTCATACTTAAAAGTAAACAGTACAAAACTGCTCTTAATTTTTTTCTGAGATTTCTGGTTTTTTTTTTTATTAATCCTCAAATATTTTTATTTTGAAATTTTTTTGAATTTATCCTTGTTTGATTTGTTATGAAATAAATTTACATAATTATCTTGTGTTTGAAGTTAATTCTACTTTGATTATTATGGAATTGTTCTACAGGCGCTGGCTATGTTAAGAGCGCCTAGGGCGCTGCGCCCATGGCCAGTCCACTTCAGTAGAGTGGTTTGTACCAGCACAAGTGATGGATATTGTTAAATTGTTAGAGGGCATCAGACTGCATTTCATCATGTTGTTGTGACTGTAATGAAGAATGAAGAAATATTTGTCACATTATAAAACAAGATCTTTTGTGGTAATGTCAGTCTAAAATAAAATCATTAATAAAGGAGTGATAAGAGTTTTGATGAAAGCTTTTGTGAAAAAGTTGTTAGTAAAAAAAACCACCCAAATAACCACAACTAAAAATAAAAAATAAAAAATAAATAAATACCTTGTAATGAAGATATCAAAGTCTTAAACAAATTTTTTTTTAATAGAGATGTCCCCGTTTTAATGAATACTTTTGTAAAGAAGATATCACACTCCAAATTGTGTTTATTTTAAATGATGTTATTATATTAATAGACTTTCATGAAGTAGATATAAGTCTTATTTAAATCAATTTGTAATAGAGATGTCACCATTTTAATAAACAGTTTTGTAAAGCAGATGCCACACTCCATTTTTTTTTTTTTTTTTTCAAATCATGTTATGTTTATAGACTTTCATGAAGAAGATATCAGAGTCTTAGATAAATCATTTTGAAAAAGATCACTCAGCATAAAAAAAAAAATTGTAAAGAATCTTACGGTCGAGAATAAATCACTTTTGTAATGGAGGTAAGACAAAAAAAAGTCAAAATGTCATTAATGAAGAAATAAATATTTTAAAATTCCACGATCTAACTAAAAATTTATATAGATAATATAACTTCCTATATAATTTGGTAATATAATAAAAAACATATTTTGAAAAGTAAAATATATTTCTTTTATGTAGAAAACTATATTTATAAAGATATGTTATAGGATTTGACAGATAAACTCGAGAATTACCTCGCTGAAATTAAAAGACAAATGAGAAAAAAATCATCAGTAATGTTTAGTTAGTATGAGTGATGATCTGTGAAAGAAGGAAATATTAGTATATGTTTGATTTGATAAAAGCTGAGCACCAATGTTTCACAAGTTTGCATGTGTGTTCATTTTGATATGATGTTTGTATTATTTTGTAATATCTGTGATAACTATACCTTTAAAGTACAGTTTAATTGGTACAGGTCCTTTTGATGCTGTTCCTGTAATTTGTCATAGAAAAAAATTACTACCGAGTTCCATGATATTTAAAAAAAAAAAAAAAATCCGTTTATGATGTTAAATATGATGGCATGGTTTGGAACCATTTTTATAGAGTGATTTTATTTTTTATTATTATTTCAACCCACTGAGCACTGTTTTTATATTAGATGTTTATTTGGCTATCTTCAGCTCCTACTGGTGATGTTAGGGGTCATTTCCTTTATGATTGCTGTATAAATATCTGTTTTTCGAAAAGTCTGCCTTATTGTTCATGTTTCAGAACTTCTGAATTGCTCAAGATAACATGTTGAAATTTCAAATAAATACCAAAGCATATTATATTCATAAACCCAGAGTTTATATTAACTCATTCACCCCTGAAATTTTATAATGGACTATTCTAACATTGGAATTGGAAGAGTTCAAATGCATCTTCAGGGGTGAATGAGTTAAGATAAGCAATGCACAATCTTATGCAGGAAATGTAAAAACATTATAAAAATTCAGATTCAGATTAAAATTTAGTTGTAGGTAGAATGGAACCACATAAAAGAAAAAAAGAAAAAAAATCCTTCAGTTTGTTTTTCATTTTATTTTTTTATTTTGAATATTGAGGAAATTTTCTGATACAAAAGACACAATTCATGAATTTCACTTTACTGATCAGACATACAAAAGGCTGAAAATGGCACCAACCTTATAGATTCATGATAAAAAAAAAGACAAGAAATCATCCTCAATCTAATTCAGCCAATATTATTTGCCAAATCATTTTTTTGTATATTAAGCAAATTTCAATTTATTGTGACACAGAACCTGATAAAACATTGATACTCCAATTTCAAGAAGGAAATTTGAGTGAAAAAAGGATTTCTGGGTAAAAGCTAAAATGTCTCAGAAAAGGTTGAACTTTTTTCATGTTATTATTATTTCAAATTTCAATTGAAAATTATTTAGGATAAATGTTTTTTTTCGTAAAATATTTTTTTATTGAATTTCCACATCATTCAATTTTTTTTATTGATGTTATTGGAATATCACACATAAATTTTATTAACTCCACAAAAGTTATTATTGTTTAATAAATAAATATGCATATCTTCAAAACAAAATATATAAATGTGTTTAGATCAATTGATTGATAATATAACTGGAATATTACACAGGTAAAAACTACACGGGAAAATCGCCAATGGCCTCGTCCTTAGCAGGTTATCAGTTGTCAAGTTTGTACTCGCACGGTTTTTGTTGTGCGGGTGTCTTCGTTGTTGTACCTGAGAGTGCATTATTGTAAAGACGTACCCTTCACACGAATAGTTGATTTGAATGACAATTTTCTGCCATTGGGGCAGGTATTTAATGCTTAATCCAGCAGAAGAGCAAGATTTTGAGTGATCTACTTATAAAGATACAGTAAAGCCTGTCTAAAACTACTGTCCAACTGAAAAAGCAAAAGTCTTTATACACAAATGGTCTTATTGGGCAGGTTTTCATGATTTACTCTATTTTAACAAAAGAAAATGGAATAAAAACAGCAAAAACTAAAATGTGTTGTTACTAAGAGTGATAACTAGGTGAAACAAGAGGTTTTCTCTGTTGTCTGGCAGTTTTCTGTTTAGACAGGTTTCACTGTACAGTACGTCATTCATCCCTGAAATTTCACAATGAACTATTCCAACTTTGAATTGGAAGAGTTCAGATGTGCCTTCAGGAATGAATGAGTTAAATTTTAGGATACCAAGTATGGACCTGGAAATTAAATGAGTAATACATTGAGAAAGTGTTTAACTCATTCACCCCTGAAGACACATTTGAACTCTTCCAGATCAAAGGGTGGAATAGTTCATTATGAAATTTCAGGGGTGAATGAGTTAAGGTTGTAGAATTGTACCAGGATGTGTTCATGGGAGCTTCTATGTGTGTGATACCAAATGGAATAGAAACCTTTGCTATATCTCATTTTAAAGAATTTTGCAGAATAATTTGCTTGCATGTACAGTTCTTTTATTTACATTGCCAAAGTAGTTTCAAACATCAACTAATTCAATGATTTTCTTATTGCGATTTTTCCGTAGTTTTATACATGAACTAATTCAATGATTTTCTTGTTTTTTCCCTTTTATTTCGTGTGGTTTGTGTGTGGTTACGACTGGTGTCGGCAAATAAACGAAATCAATCAATTATAATCGCCATGGTAACAGAAACGGGTAAGGCTTGAGATATAACGGAATTATACCGTGTCTATTATTAGTCCTCAGCCTTCTATATATAGTTTTTTCTATTTACAGAGTTTTTACTCAATTCTTTTCAACTTCTTTCCCAAAACATATCAATATTTATATACATACATACTTTTAAATCTATGATTTAAATGAATTGGATTGAAATTTTGTCTCAAAAAAAAAAAAAAAAGATGTTTAGAATAAAACAAATTAGCAAGTTGTGTAATGATATTACATAAGGCCAAAACATTTCGGTTTTTTTCTTTTCTTGAACCCCCATTTGAAAAAAATTTGTGAGGAAAATAAGTTCAAATATTTTATTCCAATCCCAACTGTTCAGCTTCCATTTGATATGCTTTGGGAAGATAGTTGTATTGACACTTATATATCTACTTAGGTACACATAGAAACTAACGAATCTAGTTTCAGGGTGATTTGCACCGCTAACAAGCTAACCTGTTCTCTTGTGTAAGGGGGGACAACTAATGCTAGTCTAGCTTTATGGCTGACATTGTGCACAAGATATCGGTCATGTCCACCTGGTAAGTCCGCCCACCAACTCTTGTTAAAAGCCTGCCTGTTTTCTTACGGTTATAGTCACATTAAATGGCAATGCAAAAACTTCTATGGTAATGGTCACAGTCACCACGGTAACAGCTGCCATGATAATGATCACACTGACTGTTACTATGGTGGGAATGACTGTTGCCAAGGAGCATGTGACTGTTGCCATGGAAACAGTCATTCCCACCATAGTAACAGTCAGATTTTCTATAGCAAAAATGTTACTCCAATAAAGGCCATATTGTCACATTGATACTGTTGAAATAGCCACCATAACAAGTAACAACAACCAAGGCAAAATGTCACTCTCACTACAACAGTCACATCTACCATGCCAACTGTCACACTCTCCATGGCAACTAGCATTCAAACCATAGCAATAGTCACGATTGTAATGGTCACACCCATTGTGACAAGTGTTGAAGAGACCCTTGCAGTGCAAATTTTATTTTGAAGAGCTCTGAATTGGTTCTGGGCATGACTGAATATCTTGTGTTACAGCGACTGTACAACATATACAGACTTATCATTACTGTATCTCCTGTATACCATGCTGTATCATAACTGTAAACTGTATACTGACAATGTACTGTAGACAGCTAGGATGTGATACTATAAATTCTATCAAATACCTTTGTGAAGGAGGAAACCAAGGAGGATGGGGGCACTGATTGTAATTAATCTACATCTGTCACAGCACACACCAATTCAAATTGAGGCTAGTTTGGACTATTATGGGATGTTAATGACATGAGGTCCCTGTAATTGCAATAATTGCTTGTTTTTCCAGAAGAATACGATTAATCAGAATATTTTGTAACTGTATCTACAAAAATATTAATATTTGTTGCATCTGTGAGATGAAACATTCAATGTCAGAACGTGTCTGGGAAAACAAATATGAAAACCCTCCAGATGTAGAGAAAACATGCCAAACAAGTGACTTTCAATGAGTTCTGTTTTTTGTTTTCATAAATTAAAATGTTATCATCGTTAACAAATTAAACGTGAAATCGGATTTTAAATTTCAGCAACTGTAATCCAGGTACACTGTACTAATGAAACAGGCTATAAATAAATGCAAAAAAGCTATGAATATTTCTGTCACCTGCTGTTTTGATCAACAGTCAATGATGTGACACATTCGCACATCCTTACCTGTACTAGTGGCTGTTACGGAGAGCCAGAAAGGTGTCTCTTGCATGTGAGGAACAGGTCATTCAATTCTTGCTAGTTTACATACACCTGTAGAAATTAACAGCATGCCTAATTTTTCTTTAGCTAGCAGGTGAATTGGTATCTAACTACAGACAGATACCAAGTGGGATTTACTGATTCATTCTTAAGTCATTAACAACTTATGGGGATTCATAAGACATCCGTCAACATTTGAATATTTCCAGCATATATATATAGTTAGACATGTGGCAACTTTTGAATATTCATGAAGTACGTAGTTAAATATCCAGATTTGAATATAGTTTTAGCATCTTTAGAAAATTTATAGAATATTGCTCAATGTTGATTTTGAGAATACGTTATTATATAAAGCAAATTTCATTGGAACAGTTCCAATAAATTTCAGAACTTTTAGCCATTTGATTTTCTAGGAATATTTCACAAGAATTTTTATGGATTATTAGATCAAATAATATTGGTAACTGAAGCACAGTTCTAGTTCAGTGTAGATAAACTTATAATTCCAATAGAATTTATATTACGCCAAAAATACCAATTAATTTTCAGTTTTATTTAGTGAAATTTCAGCCACAGAAAGAATAGCTTCTTCATTATCTAGATTTAGTTACAGGAAAGATGTTTAAGTTAGCAAATTATAGATATGATTTAGCCAAATAATGGTTGAATATAATTATATGCATGATCATAATTCATAAGTGAACTCATCTCTTTTCAATTAATTTCATTCTGGATTGAATCAAAGTCTTTAACCTTTTTCATTTCTTCTCATACATCTTCCTGAGTCTTAATTAATTTCTTCTCATACATCTTCCTGAGTCTTAGTTAAATTCTTCTCATACATCTTCCTGAGTCTTAGTTAAATTCTTCTCATTCATCTTCCTGAGTCTTAGTTAATTTCTTCTCATTCATATTCCTGAATCTTTATTAAATTCTTCTAATTCATCTTCCTGAGTCTGTTAATCAATTTCTTCTCATTCATCTTCCTGAGTCTTAATCAAGTTCTTCTCATTCATCTTTCTGAGTCTTAATCAAGTTCTTCTCATTCATCTTCCTGAGTCTTTATCAAGTTCTTCTCATTCATCTTACTGAGTCTGTTAATCAAGTTCTTCTCATTTATCTTCCTGAGTCTTAATCAAGTTCTTCTCATTCATCTTCCTGAGTCTTAATCAAGTTCTTCTCATTCATCTTCCTGTGTCTTAATCAAGTTCTTCTCATTCATCTTCCTGAGTCTTAGTATCTGTTAGGTTTTCTTACTTCTACATTCCATAGTCTTACAAAGTTTTACTAGAAACTGTATTTCATTGACCTAGTACTTCAGCAAATACAATTAACTTATCATATTTAAGGATCCCTGTACCACTGCAAAAAACTAAATATGCATGGCAACCTTTTTGGGGCATGACCTTATAAAGCTTTGATAAATCAATTCTGAAAAGAAAATTATGTATTGCAGGACTTTATGAAAAAATTATAAAGATAAAATAAATGAAAAAGAATTGACAAGTTCAGTGTTTTGAGGGTAAGAATACAATGAGGCCAGCGACCAGGCTCAAACCCTTGACTTCAGATCAAATTATTATCTCCCTTTAACTGACTGAGCTACCAGGCTCAAACCCTGGACTTCAGATCAAATTATGATCTCCCTTTAACTGACTGAGCTACAAGATCAATGGAATTACACTGGACCAGTCACACTACATTTACATCCAAAATGAATTAAGGGGAGTCTACTGTATATACAAAGAACTACAGTGGAACTCTCTAGTGTTTTTTTCCTGCAGTGGAACAGGGATCCTTAAAGTTTATTTGAATTGATGGAGGAAAACAAAACCCTCTGTTATATGTAACATCAGAATTTCAAAATTGTTATCCAAGCAGGTGATGTCATCATGTTTGGTTAGTTGTATCATATCTTATAGGTTTTCAGTTACAGGATACAGAAATAAGAAAATAGTGTTTTGTATTATAATGAAAAAAAGACATGGCAGTAATGATTGAAACACATCTATATTTGATTGTCAATGTCATCCAGTCGAATAATTTTCATTGTTTTCCAATTAGATTCATCTCATTGTTATCCAATCAGATCATTATGATATGTATAGTATAATCCAATCTGATTATTAGCTGAATATAAAACAGCCAAACAGATCACTACAATATAGAGCATTAGCCAATTAAATGACTACCTATAAAGTATCGGCCAATCTTGGTATTACAATATCATATATTAGCCAATCAGGGTTTTTTAATGTCATTATCTAATCAAATTTGAAGAAACAATTATCAGGTTATGCAAGATCACCTGATTTAATATAACTTTGTGACACGCTTTTCATCTTCTGTCCACTTGGAACTCTTTCACTACAGGCTAAAGCTTCGTCTGAAGGAGGCAAATCCACAGATGAAGTTGTGGATGAAGTGGCTGCGGACATCCTGTCCAAGTTGCCGCCAAACTTCGACACTGATGCTGCGCTGAGGAAATATCCTACATCCTACAAACAGAGCATGAACACCGTCCTCGTCCAGGAAATGGTGCGCTTCAACCGTCTCCTCATCACAATCCGATCCAGCCTCGTCAACATCAGGAAGGCACTTAAGGTCAGTGAGGGCCGGGTCAGCTTATAAGGTCAATTAGAGGTCAGGATAATATTTTAAAAAGTCTAAAAACTGTATGGTCTTTTTAAGGTCAGCCTTTGTTCACTACTAAAACATTTCGTTACAGGTTGTTTTGGACTTTTTTGCACTCTGAAGCGAGGACAAATTTATCATTAAAGCTAACATTTGTAAAGAATATGATATTAATAGTAATAACATATGATGGCCGAATTTAATATCGGGCAAAATTAAATGTTACCATCGAAGGGCAAACATTAGTCTGGGTGAAGATTTCCTGGTATACAGTAATACACAGTTAATAAATAATAGCTGTTAAATCCTGTAGTGTAAACACGACTATCAGAAAATATGAATTATTATTTATAATCCAAATCTTTCATTCATTTTGTATCCTCATTTCAAGACTCAATCAATTTCTATGATGTCATAACTATACTTATGTTGTTATGGTTACAGGGTCTTGTTGTCATGTCCGGTGACCTTGAGGAGGTGGTACTGAGTATCCTGAAGGGCGTTCCCCCTGGTATGTGGATGAAGAAATCCTACCCCTCCCTCAAACCATTAGGAAGCTATGTCAATGATTTCCTGGCTCGTCTTAAGTTCCTCCAGGTAATACAAGCAATTCGTTTTCACGCCTGCATGTTCATTTCTGCCATCCTCATATGACCTTAGCTTTTGTGAATACATTAAACCTCGAACAAACAAACATGTTAATTTCTTGTATGTTTCACAGGATAAAAATAAACATGAAATAACATTTTATCCTTTAGCTGTCATATATATGTTGTAAATGCAAATTTGTTTCAATGCAAAAACTGTAATTGAAAGCTTCTTTTGCAAATTCTTCCAGTTTTAACAATAAATAAAATGCACAAAGATTTGCACTTTTTGCTCGACAAGGGAAACAGACGTTTTTGAAAGCTTGCAAAATAAATTTTCAATTACTGTTTGTGTTCAAAACAAACTTCCTTAATATTTATTATTTATACCATACTTTAGAATCTCATTCCGAATATCAATGTCATAGTATTCTTTTCTTTCAAATTCTTATTAAGAAAACTCTTTTCCACCACAATTCCATTACATTTTGGCACTTTTAAAAATTCCATTCTATGACGACAAAATACGAGATCATATCTGTTATTGTGAGTTTAAATCTACTTACATTAAAAGGGTGTAACTGTCACTTAAAAAACTCCCTAAAAAAAATCCTTTTTTTCCCCAGGACTGGTATGATCAAGGGCCACCTACCATTTTCTGGATCTCTGGCTTTTACTTCACACAAGCCTTTTTGACTGGTGCCCAGCAGAATTATGCCAGGAAGTACACCATCCCTATTGATCTGCTCGGCTTCGACTACGATGTCTTAGAGGACAGAGAATACGACGAGTCTCCTGATGATGGTAATGTTTAGCTTCAAAAATTTTAATAAATAGTTTGTACAGATTCACCTGTGATCTTCAGAGATTGAAAATCAAAATTGGTAATGCCAGCAGAGCCTGGCATTAGTAAAGAAAGATTAACAGTTTAATCTAATGCCGATCATATTGTCATCATTTTTTTTTTTTTTTTTATCAGGACTAAGACAGATATTAACAACTCTCTGACTCCTATCTTAGCAGTCTGTATCAGTGTTCATACAGGCCTTCAAATAGCCCTAAAAGAAGGGTTGGCCATGAAAAGCCTTAAAATTGCTGAAAAGCGCCATTTAAGCCCTAAATTTAACAAAAATGTTGTTCAACTGTCAAAAGGAGCCTTGAATTGACTAAATGATCATTGTATGATTGTTTATCAATATTTTTGGTGTTCATAGTGAGGGACAATTTATGACACCAAATGACAGCACATAACACATGCTATATATAAAAATTTGATCTGACCCTTTTTATTGAGTTTTTACCCTTTGTTGAAATAATTTTTTACTGGACAACTCTTCCTTAACTACTAGGACGAATTTAGCAAAACTGGTTCCAAGTATATCTTGGCATAGGTAGGTAGTACAGGAAGTATGTCAGTGATTTATATACATAAGTATACAGCTTAGTCAATAAAGAAATCATTACTGGTGGGAGACTATGGATTGCTTTGCAATGCTTTGCCTCAGTTAGCCTTTAGCTTACAGTTCTAGCTATGTGTAGCTTTGAAAGGTTTGGATACAGATGTTTGATCTCCTTTGCTTAGTATAGTTGAAATAATGTAAAACGTACTTTTTTCGATCAACAGGTGTGTATGTGAATGGCCTATTTGTGGACGGAGCAAGATGGGACAGGAAAACTAAGTTGCTGGCGGAGTCTGAACCCAAGATTCTGTTCGACCCCTTGCCTATGGTAACTAAATATATCAGAAACCTTGTCCAAAAGTGTTCTCAGTTGCTTGGTAGGAATAATAATCGTAGCAAAATGTGTTGGTAAAAAGTTCAATAGGATAATAAAGTTTCACACTGGGTGAAAAGCCAGTCAAGGGATACAGACCTCAGATTTATACTGCAAAGGTATTTTGGTTTCAAGTTAGAATTCTGAATATCCTCTGTGTTTCTTAATTTGCACTATTAAATATATATGGAATGTATTATAGGTTCAGCTCAGTAGAAAATTGAAATTTTATACAGACACCTTTCTTCCTTTAAGCAAAAGTGGCTGAGTGGCTAAATTGTTACATGGCTATCATACTCTAACAGTTTTGCATCAAAAAAAGACCAGTCAGTCCTCTCAATCACAGTAAGAGTCAATCTTGGAGGGGGCCATGAGGCCATTGACCCCTCAAAACTGAAATCAATCCCTCCATGTTCCAACTTTCTTTTATTTCTACAAAGAAAACCCCTCTTAATGTTGATATTGACTAAAAATTGCTGAAGGTGGCCCACTACTCTCAAATTTGATGACTTTCTCTGATCACTTGCTTAAAATATCTTTTAATTTTTGTCATTTTAGGTGTGGGTAAAACCAATTAAGAGAAGCGATATCCCAGATCGGCCAATTTACAGATCACCTATCTACAAGACAAGTGCACGTCGCGGTGTTTTATCAACAACAGGTCACTCAACCAACTTCGTCATTGCTATGAGTATTCCTTCGAACCACCCCCAGCATCACTGGATTGGAAGGGGTGTGGCCCTGCTGTGTCAGCTCGACGATTAAAGACTCGCCCACACCCGAAGGGGCAGAGCTTAACTTTAAACTTTACATATGCATATATCTTGTTGAATAAATTAGAAGCTGTCAATCAATGTGTGATGGGTGTGGCTTCCATCATTGTGCTGATGAGGGACCCAAAGATATGGACTGATAGTCAAATAACCTGACCTGAATCGAAAAATTAACACAAGTTTGGAGTGTGACACACAAACTGTTGTTTTTTTTAATATTTTGGATTGAAGAGTAAGTATGTAAATAATAAAAGAATACAATGATCCGACAGAAACTAGTTGAATTTCTGTCCTATTGAAATGACACTGATATAATTACAAAACAAGAGATGAAAATCTTACATGTTTAGATTATTTTAATATCTACCGTATATATATTGTTAATAAACATGTATCTATATTTGAATATTTATTTATTGAACATATTATTTTTTCTTCAAAATGAAGGTTAAAATATAGTATATAATTGTTATTAGCTTGAATCACAGGGTTTGCTGAAACAGGTTTTTTTATTACTTCTGTGAAAACAGTTTTGTGCTATTTTCCGTCCAAACTTTGACATGATATTTGTGTTTTTTAGTTATTATTTCATCAGATATTGCATTTTTTTTTTGTAGAATTTCGAACTGGTTTTGAATATTAAATGGACAAAATTATTCGGAAAAATTCATATGTAATCTTTTTTATTTCAAATTCTCCTTTACATAGGTGGTGTTTTCTTGTGCATCAAAACACTTCAATTCCTCAAAAACATCTGATTGAAAAATAATTTTGTTGTTGTTTATACAGATAATTAACATTTCCTGTACCTCATCTTGATCAAGTTTTCAAAGAATATTTTAATAAGGTTAAAATGTAAATAATATGAATTTTAGAGAGAAAAAAATAAATTGTCTTTATAGAAGCTGTTTCTAGTTACAACTTCATGAATGTGACTAATATTAAATGATATATAAACTTTGCATGTTCAGAGATATAATCTGTTTTCATGCCAAGATCCACTTTTGTGGAAATGGCACTGTGATACTTCTATAACTAATCATGTCCTATGATGTTAAATTTTACTGATGTTGTTAAACTAGTTTGTAAATTTATCATACACACTTAACTTTGAATCACTTTAAATGATATATATATATTGTTTATTTAACATGTCTTTGCTTTCTTTTTATCATTATCAGTTTCAAAAGTGAAAATTATCTTTGAGACCTTAAAAGTATTAATTGTTTATGTATAATGGAAGATTTCTTCTTCTTAAACATTTATTTCTTCAGGATTTTCTTTTGTGTAGAATTTTGATACAAAAAAATGCTGTATTCAAATCAATACTATTCTTCATTATTTAGTGGAGCTTGACATGAACTCTTCAAAGTTCAGCTAAAAATGCTTCTCGAGATGAATTCAAAAGAATTACAAGAAATTACTCTGTGCATAAATTATCGGTCTGTAATGATTATTAAAATCAAGTTTTCAAAGTGTTTCTGGATGATATAATATTCCAATTGATGGATATTAACTCATTCACCCCTGAAATTTTCATAATGCACTATTCCAACCTTTGAATTGGAAGAGTTCAAATGCGTCTTCAGGGGTGAAAGATGTGGTCCATGGATAATTCTGGGACTAAGAAGGGGGTTTAGTATACTGAATTGGGAGGGTATCAATATACCGATGTCTGTGATATACTCTACTATCTGATGTAGCGTGCCTTTCTGTAACTGCTGTAGAGACGATTAGTGTGCCTTTTTTTTTAGCAATATTTAGCAACAAACTCCTGAAACTGCTGTTTTGAACTTTAGTCTCCAAACTTCCTAAACATGATCTGCACCGTCTGCTGATAATATTATATATATACATTTATATGTTTATTTGTACAGATATGTGAAAAGTTGTCAAAAAATAAAATGCAGATTGATGCTGAAATATGTCTTGTGTTTTTCTCTCATGATAATAAAAGCACTAATGCTTTACAGATCTACGTTATTTTTTAACTTTATATGCAGATAACCAAAGATGAATCATAGTAATGTCATGTCCTCAAAGCAAGAACCAGGATAGTGGCAGCCCGACATCAAGGCAAACTTATGAGCATAATCTCAAACATAGCACACATTTTACCCTGTGTTATAGGCTAACGAATATTTCACCCTGTTATGTTGACGTTGTGGTATAGTTTGTTTGTCATGGTACGGAGATATTGTGTTTCTTTTGCCATGTTATGATGACAATGTGGTACTTTTTGTGATGGTATGTTGACGTTACGGTATATTTAGCCATGATATGTTGACATTGTTTTATACTTTGTCAGGGTATGTTGACGTTGTGGTATACTTTGTCAGGGAATGTTGACGTTGTGGTATAGTTTGACAGGGTATGTAGACGCTGTGGTATTGACGTTGTGGTATAGTTTGACAGGGTATGTAGACGCTGTGGTATTGACGTTGTGGTATAGTTTGTTAGGGTATGTTGACGTTGTGGGATACTTTGTCAGGGTATGTTAACGTTGTGGTATACTTTGTCAGGTTATCATTGTTTTATACTTTGTCAGGGGATGTTGATGTTGTGGTATAGTTTGTAGGGGTATGTTGACGTTGTTGTATATTTAGCCATAGTATGTAGAAGTTGTTGTATAGTTTTTCACGGTATGTTGACGTTGTGGTAAACTTTGTCAGGGTATGTAGGTGGTGGGATATAGTTTGTAGGGGTATGTTGACGTTGTATTTTTAGCCATAGTATGTAGAAGTTGTTGTATAGTTTTTCACGGTATGTTGACGTTGTGGTAAGTTGTGGTATAGTTTGTCGGGGAATGTTGACGTTGTGGTATAATTTGTCAGGGTATGTTGACGTCTTGGTATACTTTGTCAGGGTACGTTGACGTTGTGGTATATTTTGTCAGGGTATGTTGACAAAGTTTACCACAATGTCAGGGTATGTTGACATTGTGGTTAACTTTGTAAGGGTATGTTGATGTTGTGGTATACTTTGTAAGGGTATGTTGACGTTGTGGGATACTTTGTCAGGGTATGTTAACGTTGTGGTATACTTTGTTTGACGTATATTTACTCATAGTATGTTGACGTTGTGGTATGCTTTGTCAGGGTATGTTGATGTTGCGGTATAGTTTGTAGGGGTATGTTGACGTTGTATTTTTAGCCATAGTATGTAGAAGTTGTGGTATATTTAGCCATTATAGTTTGTTAGGGTATGTTGACGTTGTGGCAGGGTATGTTGACGTTGTGGTATTCTTTGTCAGGATATGTTGACGTTGTGGTATAATTTGTCAGGGTATGTTGACAAAGTTTACCACAATGTCAGGGTATGTTGACATTGTGGTCTATTTAGCCATGATATGTAGACGTTGTGGTATAGTTTGTTAGGGTATGTAGCCGCTGTGGTATAGTTTGTAAGGGTATGTTGCCGTTGTGGTATATTTAGCCATGGTATGTTGACATTGTGGTATATTTAGCCATAGTATGTATAAGTTGTGGTATATGTAGCCATGGTATGTATACGTTGTGGTATACTTTGTCAGTGTATGTTAACGTTGTGGTATACTTTGTCAGTGTATGTTGACGTTGTGGTATTCTTTGTCAGGATATGTTGACGTTGTGGTATGCTTTGTCAGGGTATGTTAACGTTGTGGTATACTTTGTCAGGGTATATTGACATTGTGGTAAACTTTGTAAGGGTATGTTGATGTTGTGGTATACTTTGTCAGGGTATGTTGACGTCGTGGTATACTTTGTCAGGGTATGTTGACATTGTGGTAAACTTTGTCAGGGTATGTTGATGTTGTGGTATAGTTTGTAGGGGTATGTTGACGTTGTATATTTAGCCATAGTATGTAGAAGTTGTGGTATAATTTGTCAGGGTATGTTGACGTTGTGGTATACTTTTTCAGGGTATGTTGACGTTGTTGTATATTTAGCCATAGTGTGTAGAAGTTGTGGTATAGTTTGTAAGGGTATGTTGACGTTGTGGTATAGTTTGACAGGGTATGTAGACGCTGTGGTATAGTTTGTCAGGGTATGTTGACGTTGTGGTATACTTTGTCAGGGTATGTTGACGTTGTTGTATATTTAGCCATAGTATGTAGAAGTTGTGGTATAGTTTGTCGGGGTATGTTGACGTTGTGGTATACTTTGTCAGGGTATGTTCACGTTGTATATCTACTCATGGTATGTTGATGTTGTGGTATACTTTGTCAGGGTATGTTGACGTTGTGGTATACTTTGTCAGGGTATATTGACATTGTGGTAAACTTTGTCAGGGTATGTTGATGTTTTGGTATAGTTTATAGGGGTATGTTGACGTTGTTGTATAATTAGCCATAGTATGTAGAAGTTGTGGTATAGTTTGTCAGGGTATGTTGACGTTGTGGTATAGTTTTTCAGGGTATGTTGACGTTGTGGTATAGTTTGTCAGGGTACGGAGATATTGTGTTTCTTTTGCCATGTTATGATGACAATGTGGTACTTTTTGTGATGGTATGTTGACGTTGTGGTATATTTAGCCATGATATGTTGACATTGTTTTATACTTTGTCAGGGTATGTTGACGTTGTTGTATATTTAGCCATGGTATGCTGACGTTGTGGTATACTTTGTCAGGTTATATAGACGCTGTGGTATATTTAGCCATGGTATGTTGACATTGTGGTATATTTAGCCATGATATGTAGACGTTGTGGTATACATGTACTTTGTCAGGGTATGTTGACGTTGTGGTATATTTAGCCATAGTATGTAGAAGTTGTGGTATAGTCTGTCAGGGTATGTTGACGTTGTGGTATACTTTGTCAGTGTATGTTGACGTTGTGGTATACTTTGTCAGGGTATGTTGACGTATATTTACTCATAGTATGTTGACGTTGTGGTATACTTTGTCAGTGTATGTTGACGTTGTGGTATGCTTTGTCAGGATATGTTGACGTTGTGGTATACTTTGTCAGGGTATGGTGATGTTGTGGTATAGTTTGTCGGGGTATGTTGACGTTGGTGTATATTTAGCCATAGTCTGGAGAAGTTGTGGTATAGTTTGTCAGGGTATGTTGAAGTTGTGGTATACTTTGTCAGGGTATGTTGACTTTGTGGTATACTTTGTCAGGTTATGTTGACGTTGTTGTATATTTAGCCATAGTATGGAGAAGTTGTGGTATAGTTTGTCAGGGTATGTTGGCGTTGTGGTATACTTTGTCAGGGTATGCTGATGTTGTGGTATAGTTTGTCGGGGTATGTTGACGTTGTGGTATACTTTGTCAGGGTATGCTGATGTTGTGGTATAGTTTGTCGGGGTATGTTGACGTTGTTGTATATTTAGCCATAGTATGTAGAAGTTGTGGTATAGTTTGTCAGGGTATGTTGACGTTGTGGTATAGTTTGTCAGGGTATGTAGACGCTGTGGTATATTTAGTCATGGTAAATGTGGATCGACGTTGTGGTATATTTTGTCATTAATTGTTAAAGTTGTGGTACTTTTTGTCAAGAAATGTTGAAGTTTTGATATAATGACCTTGTGGTATATTTTTTGTCGGGAAATGTACCGTAAAAACCCATGTAATTTGCACACTTTTTTCCAGAAATTTAATACCCAAAGTGGGGGGTGCGTAAAATAAACAGGTATTCATGGTGGTATACTTTGTCATGGTACGTTGACATTGTGGGAAATATGTCGTGTGATTTTGACGGTATAATATATTTTATGCTGGTACGTATGTTGACGTTGTGGTATAATACATGATTAGTACAGAGTTAAAATAGTACAAGGGAGTAAAGTAAGAAAATTCAGTTAAAAGTATCGTTCAAAATTTTTAAATGGAAAGCTTAGTTTGTTTAAGGAATCAAAATTAAAATCATATAACGCGAACATTTATCTTATAAAATCTAGTCAAATAGTACAAGTTAAATAGTACATAGGGGTAAAATATGAAAATTTAGTTGAAATTATCCAAAAGAATGAAATGGAAAGTGATATGTATACATGTAGAAAAACAATTCATGTAGGTAAATCGAATCGCAGTTTATTAAACTGACCAATGTCTTTTATATAGTTGTAAAATGGCTAAGTCTACGGAAATGAAAAGGGTTTCATGTCCGTGACATTGAAGTATTTATCACTAATGTATCTAAAATCTGAACACAATATTAAAAAGTGCTCCTCTGTAACTTGAGACTTACATGCGTGGCATGAAGGTAGATCTCCCCTATTTAGCAGATAAACATGAGTGAGATAAGTATAACCACCACAGAGCCTAATAGAGAGACAGAACAGACACTTGTCTTTTTCAACACGTTCATCGATTAATTCAAGGGCCAAACCTTTGGCAAACGCTTCCGCGGAGTCACCGTCTGGTAATCGAATGGAAGTGAAATGGTGAGCTGAGCAGCAGGCTGCTGTTTCATTTTTACCATTTTTGGAACCGTCAGTGTAAAGCTGTGTATGAGCAGGCAACCTCGAAATGCACTCTGGAAAGGAGGATTTGTGTTCTTCGGGCAGTGTGCTTGATTTTGCCACTTCATGAAATGCAAAAATGACATTAGGTGTTTTTATAGTCCAAGGAAGGAACATCCGGTATGTTGTATTCAGCTATGTTATTATAATTGATGTTGAGCTCTTGAAGCAGATTCGTAATTCGGATACCAAATGCTGGTACGATGTTTGATTTTGCATGAATATGTTTTGGTATTTTAGTTTGAAAACGGGATCAAAGGCAGTTTTTTTTATTTAATTTGAACTGGACAGCAACTGTAAAGCCGGATTTTCCTTCGAGTCACAAAGAGAGGGTTCATTCACATCCATGTAAAGACTTTTCGTAGTTGGTGTTCGAAAATTATCAAGTGCTAGCCGTAGCCCTTGGTTATGGATTGGGGCCAACATCTGCTAGAAAGAACTGTTTGCCGATCCACGGACCATTGGACCATAATCGAGTTTTGATCGAGTAATCTGTAAAGTAGCAAACTCATCTCGCGGTCTACACTCCAATCAGTATGTTAGAGGAATGTTCAGATGCTTTATATCTGGAATAAAAGAGAGTTTCGAATCAAAAGTTAGTCCAAGGGATTTTGGTTTGCACATCAACTGGGATTATAATTCCATTATTAAGTGCAATATTTTGGTCACTGTGTGGTTTTCGTTTTTGACAGAAAGCCATGCTCAGTTTTTCAGACTTTGAAGTGTCTGTCGGAGAGGTAACCTACGAACACCTATGTCGCGAAGTTCTTTGATGATACCATACTTCAACGTAGTGTCACAGACTTTCCAAGGTCAAAGAACACAGCCACAAGGGGTTCTTACTTGGCGACGGCTTATCGTATGAATGTTTCCGCTCTTATCAGTTGATCGACTGTTCCCCCTCTGTTCCTGAATCCACTTTGAAAAGGGTATATTATGTCCATAGTCTAGAGAAACCTAACACGTCTGTTGTTATCATCCGTTCTAACGTTTTGCAAATGCAGCTAGTCAGAGAAATTGGACGATACTTGTTCGGGCCAGTAACGTCCTTTCCATCGTTAGGGAATGGTATAAACGTAGATGCTTTCCAACATGCAGGGATCTACTTTATTGAATAAGTAAAGAAGTCATCTCAGTGACGAGTCAGGTAGGTGTTAAGTTTTAAAAATTGGTATGGGATACCATCTGGACCGGAGGCCGAGCCATATGATGTTTCGATGGAATCAATTAGTTCTTTTAATTGGAAAGGTTCTTATTAAGAGACTGGGATATTTTAGAGTGATTTAGAGTCGATGAGATTTTAGAATTTATTTGCAAATTTGTCTGCAGTGTCAGATTTTGAAGAGAAAATTTTGCTTTTATTGAAAAGAAGGGAGGCTGTTGATGTTTTACTTTTTCCACTTATTTTCCGAATCATTTTCCTTATTTTTCTTGAGGATGTGTTTGAAGATATTCCAGGTACATACTCTCTCCAGCTATTTCTTTTGTCGATTTAAATTGTTTGCCGAGCCTTTGCCCTCCAAAATTTAAAATCACAGTAATTTGAATCGGCAAGACAATTCAGGTAGCGTCAAAGAGCGGCCTTCCGGCCAGATCTACCTTTAAAGAATTCTTCAGAAAAAAGAACTTCGTTGGTTTTGAAGCGGATTGTGGTATTGTTTCATTGGCCATAGAAGTCAACCTTTCACTGAAGGTTTAGAATGGGTTGTTGAAATCTCTAAACTTTTCTTCAGCGATGTCCGCGGTACACACGTATTACAATTGCGCCCACTCTGCTTTGTACATATTCCATCGAACTAGTAATTGTCAAGAGAGGACCCGATATTTTTAAGAAAAATGGGAACTAGTCATTTCCACATTTGTTTTTATCATTGACTCTCCAGTCATAATCAATGTACATTGAAGGATGGCATACAGACAGATCGATGTCGGTAAGAGAGCCTGTAGTTGGGTGTAAATAAGTACGGATATTGTTGTTTCACAAACACAAATTGTTTTATGTATACATTCCCCAATACGTCTTACTCACTCATGTGTGTTTGGTGAATCCCAGAGCCTATTGTAGTCTTTAAAATCACAGAGGATTACGAATGTCGTTGGAAGTTGGGAAACGATGTTATTCAGTTGATTACAAGTGAAGACATCACTCGGAAGAGCGCATGCTGAACAATTGATAATCGCTTTGACGAGTGATGCGGTTTTTATACCCATCGAAATCCACACTCGTTGCCAAGCAAGTGCATTCTAAAATGTCGGCGCTTCCTAAGATACCGTAGCCGGAAAAGGAAGCCACCATGTGTCGTGTAAGCATGCATGTTTATATGTGAGCCGGAGGCAGGGTCTGTCTGTCTACTTGCCTCCTTGTGATAGCGCGAATCTGATGACAAACGTTAAATGCAAATCCTGAGCGTTAAGTATGATATAACAACTACCATTTTTAAAAACTTTGGTATGTCAAAGTAAAGCCATAGGTGAGGAATTACCAAGCAAGGCGCTAGAAAACTAAAGGTATTCAGAAGTAGAGAGAAACAAAGATCGCGACTATTGCAACTGATAGATGCTGATATTCTTGTATATTTGCCTTTGATCCGCGGATGTTCCTTTGCATAATTGTGTTGTTCTATTTTTTATTTTGACTAGATTTCGATTGAGTTGAAGCATGAAGCGCTGAGGCATTCGTCTGCATCTCATTATTGAGATCAAGCAGGACATTGAATATGTCGGGGCTTCGATCATTTGCCATCGGTGACACTAAGATCGGGCCCAGCAGACTTGCCCTTTGTTAATCTTATTTCGTTTCGTCGGTCTGTTGTCTGGTGATATAGCATCTGACCTCATTTAAGATCGAGGTATAAAGGAAAGAGAGCGAGATCGCTGCAAGCACACACATATTTTAGATGGACCAAGTATTGGAGTGATGAGGATGGTGTTTATAAATATTTGACTTTTGTTGGTATGCCCCTTTGGTTTTGGCTGTTACATATATTTAGTAGATTGCGTGTTAGTTGTGAAACGGAATGGATCTCTCGTGACGATACTCGTGCTCTGTTGGCCAGTCCGGTCTTGGACTGGTGAGCTCCAGGCAGGTCTGTCCTCATATACTTTAACCAACGCATCTTTGACTTTGACAATGTTATCCTACGACCGAACTTTAGTCACTTGTACATATGAGGGTGCAGATACGTCTGTACTCCCCACTATCCTCCTAGCCTCGGGAAAGGTGACATACACTGTACCGGGTATATTCGATATATCTCTCTTTCGCGACTCCAGGCAGGACAGTCTTGAGACGAAGCAGCATGCTTTTCAGTTCTTACAACGCAGGCTGAAAACATCACAGTCGCTCTAGTACTTCGGACAGTTACGACATCTGAATGGATTTAGGATGTAGGCGGAGACGTTGCGCTTTTGGTACCTAATCACTACAGCCAATGGTAATGATGGGGTAGCAAAGATAAGCACAAACATATCTGTGGGGACATCGGGATTTTTTGGGGGTTTTTAATTATACAAAATCCCCGAAGCCCAACAAGGGGACACTGATATGAACACGGATATCCAGCGCCAAAGTGTCAGGGATACACAGACTAGTATTCTCGTGATATTTCTCTTCCGATTGATCCTAAGCCTCGGCCTTTTTGGCGCATGAATGAAAAGGGCTCGGCTAGACCATCCTATTGATGATAGAGTGCCCATATCACCACTCGTCTATCCGAAACCAAAGTAGTATGTTGCAGAATATCGGATCATCTTCGTCAGTGATTCCAGTGTAAAGAAGCGAATAATTCGCATGTAAATATAGTTCTCTATTCAATTATCCAATAGGATAAACAACACAAAATACAGAAATGTATTTTACTGCGACAGATTTATTAAACAAATCATGTTCATACACAACAATTCGTGTTATGGACATAAAACATGTATGCACCTACAAACAAAGGATTGCATTTAATTATAGATTTATCATAAACTTTGTCTGTTGTGAATACACTTCCAGATTACCTCCCATATCACTGATTACCAATATATGTATATCAAATATAAAATTAATCTAATCATTTAAATTATATTTCCACCAAAACTCGATCCCAATTTTTAATTATGTAAAAATTAAATTTCACGTCTGCCTGCCGCTACCCGTGTCGCCTGAATGACGCGTACACGTACAGGTAACACGCGGTTGGGATTTGCACGTGCAAATCACAGATCATCACGCCACTGCATAACATAGAGCAAACAATTTCACCCTAATTCCTACCCGTCAAACGGTTGAAATGATATAACTTGGTTTAAATTCATATACTAATCTTTTCAGAACAATTAGTACCAACTCATTAAGGAACTCACACGTTATACAGGAAATACTTCAAACATTTTAGACCTTAGTTTTACCGATATCCTTGATCTCGTCACTTAGTACCAGCAAAGTTAACAGCAAGCCTTTTTGATCGATATCGACAGCTTTAATGGGTAAGACATCTGATGCTGTTGCACTTTCACTTGCAATTGATAATTTCTGATGATAGGTTAAGTCAAAGGTTTTTAACAAAGATTTTGTATCTGAACAGTGCACCATACTAGACAATATGCCTAAACTTTTTTTTATCAACAACGTTAACAGCTCCTACAAATAACAATAGTCTTGACCACAAACAGACAACTCCCGAGGAGATACAGAAATATTTTCAGTCTGTTAAAATAAAGAAATATACAAGTCCCGGGCCCGTATTCATGAAACCATTCTCATGCTCAATTATGGGTTTTGTGCACAAGCCTGATTTTCTTGTTCCAGTTATAAATTGATATCAAAATCTTATTTGTCAACAATTCGGAACAAAATGATAGACTTCAAGCCGAATACTGCTATCAGTATTTGGGTCGTTTGACATGATTTAAGTGAGTTACAAGAAAGCTAGTTTGAGCACAGAGTCCATGCTTGAGTATGAGAACGGTTTCATGGCCTGGACATGGTACTTGACATTAAACTTCAATGTTATCTTAACCGTGAGCATATATACAGACCCAAAGGAAAAACGCGCCTTGTTATCCTGCATTTATCCCTAACAAATCATTGAGTTATCTACATTGAGTTAGAAGTAATTTTCAGGACAACGAATTTGACCTTTGACCTCAGATCGACATTGATCTTGACAGTGGGAACAAATAATGGTTTGTACTTTTTTGGTATATTCTCATCAAGACAGAAGTTATGGCCCGGAAAACGAGCGGACGGACGGACAGCGCGGCTACTCTATTCGCCCCAGATCTTTTTTACAGTGAGCATAATAATAACAAAATCTTTACATGTACTGAAAGAAAGGGATTTTATCATATTTACGTCCAGTTTCCCTATTAAGCTATTTAGTCTGCTCTAGTGGGGTTACATCCGCAGGTTTCATAACGTCGAATGATATTCAAAGGTGTCCTATACTACTTTACAAGAAAATCTCTTTACTCGTATAGCAAAAGTAGATTCGAATTATTTACGAACAACTCGCCTATTGGTCCCTCATTTTCACTATTGTTCTCTCCCTTCCTATCCCGGGCATCCCAAACATTTCCGTTAGTCTATTTCACCCACTGATGATCAAGACTACTTGACGGTAAAATTCCTTTCCCTTGACAGAAGGGAGAGTGAGGGAAGGGAGGATAAAATGAAGCCTAAGCAACTGTTAATTTACTGTATTTTTTTCCCAATACAAATAATTTACTGACTAATCTCAATCTCAAATAGTGACTTATCACTAATATTTATTCAATAGAGCACACAGCGCATGACAGAGTTTGCCCACCTTTGTATGGTGTGCAGGGGAGACTTCCGCATTGACTTGACACAAGATAAAGTAACCGTCCTTCCTCATTAGTGACGCTATGCTGCAGAGCCTCTGGTTGTTTGTCAAGGCAGATATACTCTGATGACGCTTGGGAAGATGCACCGCCCGCTAACCACCCGTGGTATTCTAGCGTCCACCCTGCGTGGCAGCGATTCCGGCCTGGTAACATGATAACGGTTGACCGACTTGTCTTACAAAAGGAACAAGGCATGTCGTCGTCCACACGAGCTGAGCCGTAGACGGTTGACTGATACTCAACGCCGTATACATATGCATTTCCATCGGTTGACGCATTTACCTCGTATATCGGGTCAGGTGGCATACACAGAAAGTCTGCTGGACCTCCTGAACCACTGTAATACGATCCTCCAGCAAATCCTAGAATAAAGCAAAACTCAAACTATTTCACGTTAAGAACAAGAGCCCCAGGGGCCTAAACGCTCACCTGGTATTTTATTTTAATTTAACATTTTTTTGTTATTTGTTATGGCTTGGGGATCTCAACTGTTTCCATGTTATGACCCAGAGAGGTAGTCTCAATGGTTTAATCTTAACCTCCGGGCCAATCCTGGTAGCATGCATGTATTATTATTTTCATGCCTATAAATTGTATATTTAGTTATAGGGTGGGGAAAATGCATTAACTAATATGGTAACTGAAGGATTTAATTGATTTACCTATATTTCTCTTTATTGGGTCACACAATGGATGCTGTAAATTTTGTTAAAATCCCTAGATTTGTTTAGAAGGAGAAACTTTGTAAATATTATGCTCTATTTCCCATATTTGGCCGCACCTTCTGTTCCCAGGGGGCCACATCCTTCATTTATACTAATTTTAGTAGCCTTTGCCTGCAGGCTGTCTTGACCAAAATTGGTTGAAATGAAGATAATCTAGAACAAGTTTGGTTCAAACCCTTTCATTTGGACAAAAGAAGAATAGTTTTTAATATTTATATGTATATGTATATATTTATATCCCCTATTGGGCACATACTTCTACCCCAAAATAGGCCACATCCGCCGTTTACCAAATTGATCTAATTTGCCTAAAGATGCTCTAGAACAGGTTTGGTTAAAATCCCTTCTATGGAACAAACGGATCAAGGATTTTATCCGTTTCCTCTTTTTTCCCTATTGGGTCCCATCCCTTTGCCCTTATGGGGGCCACAGATTCAGTTTATACAATATTGAATCCCCTTTTCCCCAAAGGTGCTCTAGAACAAGTTTGAATCAAATTCCGTCGTCGGTACAAAAGGAGAGAAAAAAATAGATGTTCCCTCTATTTCTCGTATTGGGCACCAACCATCTGCCACATATGGGGACCAAGGACACATTTTATGCAAAATTGAGTCTTTTTACCATAAGAACGCTCCAGACCACATTTGGTTTAAATCCCTTAATTTGTATAGAAGGAGAAGCGTTTTCCCCTTTTCCCCTATTGGGCCCCACCCCTCTACCTCCAGGCGACCAAACCCTCCGTTGAAAGATGCTCTAGAACAAATTTGTTCCAAATCCCTCCATAAGTTGAGACGATTTATAATATTTAGTTTTTTCCCCTATTCGGCCCCGCCCCTCTGTTCATTTACTCCGTTTATGCAGAATTGAGAACCCTTTGGACGATGACGCTCTAGACCAAATTTGGTCATGTCAGCTAAAAACACAGGAAATCAAAACAAGTTGTATAACGAACAACAAATAAATTCATATTGCTTTTATAACATGCATGTAACTTTCGTTAACCCGTTAGGTATAAGTTTGCAAGGACAGTAATATTAAGCAAAGGGGAAAAGTCAGGCGAAAATGGTACGCAAAGCACAGGCATTTTCTCCGAAAATACCAAACATATTTATTCTCAGACAGTCATTGCAATATTCATTTGGAAACATACTGTATACGGGGGAAATTTCGCCTAGCCAAATCTTCATCCCTTTACAGGCAAATCCGTTTTCGCCCCGAGTTAATTTCGACCTTCACATGATATTACCCTCGACCAATATCAGCCCTCGGGCCTTCGGCCCTTGGGCTGATATTGCAGTCTCGGATTGATACTGGGTGTGATATAGAAAAAGGCATGTATTATTCTCTATGTATAGTATTTTGTGTATTTTACATATTTTTAAACTTTAGTGAAAATTTCCCGGTATACAATAGTAGACTCATGGTAAAATTTGTTGTTTTGGTTCTACTCATGTACCAGTTTGTAATAACACGAAAGTAATATTATTATGATGGATTGATTGAAAAATAAGGGCAGATCAACACAAAAAGGTATTGTGAAACTTGGGTTTTCCCTGTATTTCTGGTGAATATTTCAAGAAAACACCTGACGACGATGAGAAACATTTCCACTTTAAGATATTGTATTATAACACACCGATGGTAAACGTGCGTTCGGTAAGGCATTCCAAAACTGAACGCGAAACAAATATAATAATATTTACATATATATATGTATACTTTACACACAAGTCACACTAACATTAAAAGCTTAGTACTAGCTTCATCACGTGATCTAATCCCGCGGGTTTTTAAAGGGGCACAGTTGAGGTGTTGAATGTTTGAGCAATTATTGCTATTTAAAATTTAATGTCCTGAAGCAACGATACAAAAATAATCCAGGGAAAGTGGCGTCCATACCCTTGGTAATTCCTGAATATTCATTCCCGGTCAATCAAGATTCAAGATTCAAGATTCTTATGAATAACTATAAAAACAGGACAACAATTCAAATTATATATGCTAAAATTATTCAGTAGAGCATATGATATCACATTTGAATGTCACACAAGTGTTACGAAAGACAAGTTAAGACACTATACTGGTGTAATGTACATATATGCTAATGTAGCAAAGTGTAAAAATTTACAGGATATACACTAATATAGTGTGAATTAAAAAGAGACAATAAGGTCATAAATAGAAACAAGAGTTATAATTATGATATTGTAAAAAAGTAATGATCTTTTAAATAATGGAGCTTAAATCTAAAATAAATATCAATTATATAATAAGTATATTACTGAAGTACATTAAATTAAATAACACAAGCAGCAGTGAAATTAAATAGTTGTAGTATAAAACATGTAGGTAGATTCCAAAGGGGGACAACTCACACAATATGGTGTGTGCAGATAGCACATGAGCAGACATTTTTGTTCCAGGTGCGGAGCAGCCCACGAAACGGCTTATAGTTTTCAGCTAATCGAAGTTCATTTCGTAGGCTGTTCCGGACCTTGGAAGCAGCAAATCGGAAAGATCTCTTACCATATGTGGAGGTGTTCACCTTTGGAATCTTTACCAGGTTATCTTGTCTCAGATTGTAAAAAACTTCTTTCCTTTCAACAAGATTTTGTAATTTTCTAATATCTGGGAAAATTACAAACAATTGCAGTAGGTTTTGTTTTCGGACGAATATTTGGCATTCCTATTATTTCGAATTCCATTATTTTTTCTAAGTGTTCTTTAGCAATTAAATCATGGCAAAGTTAATCATGTTTTTTTCCGTACTAAATCCATATGTCTGGATGAAAAGCAAATTTGGTGTTAATAAGTACACGACAGCATGCGATGCTACTCCACTGACCCCCCAGGCCGGGACATACCAAAGTCTTTGAAAATGGGAGTTGTTATTCCCTGCTTACCGTTCAGCTTTAAGGGTAATGGCAACAACTGGTTCACCCGTTGTCAGTATAATGTGACTTGGTGGAATGAAGTACTAAGTGCCTTTGGCATGGTATTTCAGTGATATAGCACTATAAAGTCGGCATCAGATCCGCGCTATCGCAAGGAGGCAACTACACCAACATACCCTGTCTTCGGCACATAACGCGCATGCATGCATACACGACACACATGGAGGCACGGCCTTAAATGACATTAGCTGTTAATAGGACGCTAAACAAAATAAAACCAAAGCAATGGCCAGACAGTCAAACAATGTCGAAAACAAATGTCCAGAAGAACATAAAGGAAGTGGGTTTTAAGGATTCCTCACTTACCACTGTAAACAAGGGAAGTTCCGTTTCCGGGACAGGTTTTTCTCCCCCATCGAACATAGGTCGATCCTGTTATTCAAGAGGAATACATTAACCTACATTAGAATGATACTTTCATAGGAAATATTATAATAATGCTTATTATAATTATTCTCACTCAACTAAAAAGGAACGAGAAAAGTAACACAAAAAGATCAAACGTTTCATCGATATTGAGCCATTTATTCACTATCACGTCAAACTATGCAAATTGCCGATTAAAAAAAGTTTTTTAGATAAAAATAAATTTGCAAATGGACAACTAATCAGTATTTTTAGTTGATGCTTTTCACGATGGTGGCAAACTTATGATTTTAATTAAGGCGGAAGAACGGAAGACACCAACAAAAAATTTCCTTTGAACAATTAACTGTCAATGAGAAAAAATGTATGGCGCAAATCAACGTCATTTTGTGGCCCCATTTTTATACTGACATTCTTCCTACGTAATCACGAAGGTCATTTTTTCCATTCCATGTTTATGTCATTACCTGTACTGGTTTGATTTTGTGTGTGACCGGTAACAGATGTCGTTTGTATTTGGAGAGCAGCGACAGTTGTTTCTAGATGGTTATCTTTCGCAGAGAGTTCAGTCAGTCTGGTCTTTAGCTGTGAAACCTCTGAAGAATGTGTAGCGTTAAGCAGTATATATTTCGTAGTTAGGTCTTGTACCGTCGAGAGAAGATATGCTATTTTTGTCTCCAGGGTCGCGTTCTGAATCACGAAGTCATTCTGTTGTTTGGCTATATTAGCATTAAGTTCCGAAACCTTCAACTTCATGTCTTGTTATTGTTCCTGGAGAGTGTGTTCTAACGTCTGTTACCCGACACGAACTCTCTTAGCGTCGTTTACGGCGCTGATATTTGCGAAGGCTAAATTCAATATAATACACGCAAATACGTATATCAAGCCCATTGCTTCGAACCAAGGCCATGTATTCCCAACAGGTAAATAAATTAACGTATTTAGAAATGAATATCAAAAAATTAAATAGAAATCATATCATATTTCAACAGACAAATACACGAACCAACAATTCATACGAAAATCATTTTGCTTATAATTAAATTATTCATTTGTGCATGTATTTTTAACATTGAGCTATTTTTAAATAGTTCATTGATTTAAGTTAATGTAGCACAGACATTTTATCTTCTGTTTATTTTTTGAATGTTTTTTTCTTTATTTGTTAAAACATGTTCTTCTGCATATTTGAATGCTAGTAGTTGATTTGAGTTGTCTGCACTTACGGGATAACCCTATTATATTTTGAGATTTGCGGTGGTATAATGTGATTATAAGGGAGACCGGGGCAAGTTCGGCCCCGAGATGAATCTGGCCACCTCTGAAATGGTTGGTATTAGGCAAACATCTACAACTTTGACGATCTTAGCCGTTCAGTTGGCCAGAATATTCACACGGAGTTTTGGTGAGGAAATATCAATTTTTAAATTTCTAAAAGAGGGAAATTAACATTTTGAAGGGTGGAAACAAAATCATTACCTCACTTCTTTCTTTCCAGTTTTGCGAACTTTCTGTAAATTTAACTACTACTTTTTATGTTGTACGTGTAACACACAGCTTCACGTGATCGTACAAATATAAATAAAAACCTGGCATTCACTTTTGTATTGCTGTAGTACACGAACTTATTGAAATATCAATAATGGGCAGTTTCGGCCAATGATTCATGTATCGATGCAGGTTCGGCCAATGATTCATGTTCTTTTAGTTTAAACATATTTTATTGCCAAGCAAATAGATTGGGCACAAGTTATCAAACTTATATTCAGCCCTTTCCTAGCAAATTACAAGCATATATTTACAATAGTACAACAAGATGGCAGAATTAATATACATATATACACTGTTTCATTTTTAAATGCTTTAATTTATAAATTGAATACTAAAATCTCTTAGAGTCACGAATGTATTGCTGAGTATGCATGAATATCGTTATGTTTTCCTGTTCCGAAAGAGATGTATCTCCAAATAAAAGTAGATTTAAATTAAGAGGCATGTATTCATTCAGTTCACGATAAAGCTTAATTCTTTGTTAGTTATATTTATCACAGGTAAAAAAGAAATGGTGTGTGTCTTCAATAGGGAGGCCACATATACAACGTTGGTAAACAATAAGGTTAACACGAAACAGGTCACTTTTCAAAGTACTAGAACGGTTAAATGATTCATGTCCGATGCAGGTTCGGCCAATGATTCATGTACCGATGTAGGTTTGGCCCGTGCAATACATATAAAAAAACGTGAAGTTGGCGGGAAATTCTGATATTGCATGCTTTATGGCGATTCCAGCGTGGGTTGAACTTACCAATCTTCCGGCTGAAAAAGTTCTTCAAATACGGATGTGTTTGTCTTTTTGTTATTGTTTTATGAAATGCGTGTTTCCAAATGGTAAATATACAAATCAATTTTAACAAATGCCATACCGTCCAAAACGACTTTTATATTAATGGGCCGAACTTGCCCCGGTCTCCTTACTGTCGCAAATAAATGAATACGGGAAACACGGTGTGGGACCGGTACAGTTGTAAAATGGATATTTTCGATAGTTAAATCAAGATATACTGTCGTAAACATCAAATAGAGTAGGGTTAACCCTTTTCTAATTCAGATAAGCTAAAATCATCAAAAGAAACGACGATCATCTTCATCATCATTTGACATTAAAATCATCAGTATTATCATCACAATGATATATATATCATGACACTGAAATCATCATCATGATTAGCAAAATCATGAACCTTTATTCAAACGTGAGCACTAATTAACCATCAGTTCTTGTTAGATTCATACAACTATATAGAGAGAGAGGAAAATGATATGAAGTCTATATCGATAATGTAGTATAGGTTGTAAGGTTGGATAGACAGAAAGAGAAAGGAGGAAATTGGATGATGGGGAGAGTATGGAGGTTGATCACAGAAGATTAACTTATCATATCAACATGTCGGTAGCAGAATTAGATATAATTATACTAGGGCAGCACACTATACATTGAATCTTCCTGTCTATTACTGTTATCCATTAATTAGGTTTATAGCTACATGTAACCCCTGAAATAAGGTAGATGTAGAGTCACAAAAGCAAATCCCAAAATCCACATAATTAGCCTCTTACATACAGGCAGTGGGAAACAACAGGTATATTCTCGTCTCGATCTCCGACCAGCACTGGTGTCATAAAGAAGGGTCCTATTGGTCGAATTGGTGTAAAATATATGTTAAACCTCTTTCTACCAAAATAGGAGGGTGTTAATCAACTACCAAGGCATCAATTAACCATTACAACTGTTGTATAACATATTGTTTATACCACACGTGGTAT